ATGTCAATAGATATAAGTTTAGGATTCTTCTATTATTTATAAAGAAATATGTCAATAATAGTTAAATGCATCTACAATATATTAACAAAAATCACAGATTATTAATATGGAATATTTATATATCCTAACAAAATTTACACGCTATATATATTAGATAAATTTATTTCGATGTAAATTTTTAAAATTATATTTAAAAAAAAAAAGAAATTGTTTAAAAAGTTCTTTTTAAAGTAAAATTCTTTATAATATTAATTTAGGAAGCTATAAGTTTAGTTTTTAGCAAAAATGTCTTCGAAGTTTATATTATCTTTGCAAATTAAAGTATACTAATATTTAATCAAGCTTTATTTCTATTACTTTATCTAAAAATGAAATACTAATCTAGCAAACAATAAAATATAGAAGAAGAAACAATTTCAAACATATATAATATAGAAAATTTGAAACAATCTATTTGATTAAAACACTTATTATATAGTATTATTATGTTTGAAAAACATTTATTATACATATCGTAAATATGTGATTACTATAATATATACAAATTTACAAGTGAAAACAAAACGTTTATATAACTAACTATAAACGAAAACAAACACCCGCGCGGTTGCGCGGGTCAAAATCTAGTTATTAATTTAAAATTGTCAGTTAGAGGAACATTTTTTAAAATACAATTTGATGTCTAAATTTCTATAGTTTCATAAAGTTATTAATAAATTTATTTTATTTTTATACATTGTTCTTCATAATTTATTCAATAGATATAATTTTAAAAATTTATAAATTTATTATCTATAATTATCGTTTTATTTTTGACAATTCAGTTTTGGCTAATATTTGGTCAAGTTTGAATATATTAACGTATTCATATCATTGAAGCAGTTGATTGTATGATATTGCAACAATTTCCTTGAAATATACTTCTTCTCTTTCAATAGATGTATCTTTTTATAATTTTTATATGTATTAAAAATATATATGTAATTTTGATTATTATATTTTAACTAACTATTCACCATAACTTTTAATCAATTTTACAGTTTCAATAATTACAATTTATATTTTTTAAGTTTATAGTTTATCATTAATTGTTACATTGAAAATGTAAAAAAATGTATTTTTTTAGAATAAATGTTTTTCTAAAACATAGATCTTTTCACAACAGAGTACTTGATTGTAACACAAGTTAAGAAGTGACCCAACAAGAGGAAGAGAATAAGATGCGACCTTTCCAACCTTGCAAGAACCAATTACTATCTTTATCAAGCACAAAGTCTTTATGGTAACCCCACTTCTTTATCTTTACCCTAAACGACTCCACAAGCTCTTTCTCCACAGGCTTCTGCTTAAACCCTACTCTCATCATCCTCACTTGCCACTGCTTGTAAGTCTCAGGTCTCTCCACTCTATCAACCCCCTCACACGCAATCACATTCATCACTTCTCTCCCATAAAACACCTCTTCGAAATGCATCCTCTCCGGGTTTTTCCGAGGCAATGTCGAATCAAACATGTCGAAAACCGCTGTGTAATGAAACAGAGCTTCTTTGAACCTCGTGGTGAAGAAGGAAGCGTTGAAAGATCCGTTAACCGTGGAGTTGACAAAAACGTCAGGTTTCATGTCTCTGATCATCTTTAAGAACCCTTCTCTCGGGCAATCCGCTTCTCCAGGAGTCAAATCTCGCAGATTCTTGAACCGTAGCACTGCGTTAACTGCAAGAACTTCATTTGGTCGGATCTTGAACTCGTCAATTCGGATTGTCTCCCAGTTCTTAGACGCTATTGCATTGTATTCAAAGGGTACACCAAACCGTTTGCAATACTCTCTCAGTCTCCTACCAGTATCCTCTAGTTTCTCCGTTGGACGAAACCCGTTTTGAGGAAGCTCCACACCTGTTATCCTCAGCTTCCTTGGCCCGGTCTTGCTCTCGGATATCCTCTGTATAAACATAGGCCATTGGAAACCGTAAAGGATCCCAAAGTCGATTATATGAAGCACGGAAGCATCTTTAGCAGCGTCAAGAATCATCTTGTTGGAGTAGAAATACATCAAAGTCATGAACGGAGAAGCAGACAAGAAAGTTTTGTAAGACTTGAGAATCTGTGCAGCTGTTCGTTTCTTGGAGGTTACGGTATCGTAGTAACTAAGGATCGTAGCTCCGCTGCTTCCTTGAAGACGCGCCTCGAGGGCATTGGCGAAGAAATGAGCTAGTCTCTGTGATGCATCACCAAGAGGTGAAGACTGACTCCTTATCTGCCTCAGCAAATCATCAGATGTAACCATATCCCCTCTGGAAATTGATTCCGCGCATAGGATAAGAATCGTGCGGAAGTCAACAGATTGACTCTTCTCCGTCTTCACATGCGGCCATCTTTCTTTCTTACTAACCGAAGACTTGCTTGAGACGTTATCGCTTTCTTCGTCAAGAAGCAAGACTTTATCAAACATCTCTGTTATTTTACCATCATCTACATTCGCTGCGGATTGTTTACTGCTCCTAGCTTCCTCTTTTTCTTCTTCGCGCTCGCGGTGATTCTTCCTAACTCTAGAGATATAACCTTTTTCATTACTCTCATGCTCTTGGTTGAAGATCCATTGATCGGTGTTAGGAAGAAACTTGCTAGCTTCCTCTAGCCCTTTCTTGAACTGCATAACTGAATTTGTATCACTAAACATGTTCCTGACAAGAATCTCATTCTCTGGTTGTCTGAATGTACGCAAGATATTTGATCCCACAGGATCATCATACAACAACACTTCACACTCATTAGAGTTAGTTCTTGTCTTGTACCGGTCACAAGAATCGCTATTTCTGTTGAAATACTCACCACCATCACCACTACTATTACTAGTAGTAGTAATATAAGGAGATTGAGTTTGTGAGTCGGTGATGACTTGCTGCAACATTTCTTCGGTTTTTCGTAGAGCCAAAGCATCATAGGACGAAGACTGGTTCTCAGCGAGAGTCTCTTCTTCCATAAGGAGCTGGTTTACGTATTTCAAAAGAGTATTTTCTGAATCGATCTCATGATCAGAAGCTGGAGGAGAGTCTTGATCATGATAAAGAAGATGATCAAGATCTTGATCTTGTTGTGTTGGTGGAACCCAAATAGAAGGTTGAACACGATCCAAGCGGAGATCGAAATCACTCAATGAAGGAACGCCAAATCCCTGATTAGTAATCTGGTTTGGTAATGGTAAGGAACTCACATCATAGTACTCGTAACCGTTGACTATTCCAGAGAAGTTCGAGTCCATCATCAATTAAAACTCTTTTCCTCTATTGAGAGAAAAAAAACACTTCAAGAAAGAACACAAAGAGAAGAACTACAAATATAATCTGGAGCAGGTGTGAGATGCTTACATCTGACAAAGAAGTAAGAGAAGTGGGACAAGTAGGAGAAGCTACGTGAAGGTATGATTAGATATTGTTATGCGAGAGAGCAACAGCAAGAATTTGAGAGAAAGTTTTAGAGAATGGAGAGACCAAAAAAAGAAAAAAAGAGGAAGTTTCCCGGGAAACGAGCGAGGGGGGACACGACAAGTCTTGCGACTGGTCCGAGGACGAGTCTTGTCGGCTACTTTTGTGACCTGTTCATATCTTTCGTAGCCTCGTAGGTTTGGGCCCATCTCTTTATCTTTCTTTTTTAAGTAGTAGTGACTGTCATGTAAAATTTAATATAATACCACTACAAAAGTTATGACAAAGTGGTAGATAATGTAGTTTAAATCGTCTCCATCTCTCCCATTAACTTCTGTAATCCATATGTTAGTATTATATTTGTAGTTAGATGCAAGTTGCTCAAAAATAGTTTCTAGAAAGTTATGTTAAGTATATAAATAGGGATTTTTGCAAATTTGACTCAAAACTCAAAGTCAAACACAAAACTAACCTTTCTTGTTTTTTATTTTTCATTTGTCTTATTCACCCCATCTGTTCACATTATTTACGAAAATGCCATTACACTTTTTTTTTTTTTTTTTTTTTGAAAATTATTTTTTTACTCTCTCAACCTCATCATCTTCAAGTATTTACAAGATTGACATTGCCATCAATACCCTAACTACCATGAACAACCAGTTTGAAGCTCTTAATGCACCAAAAATTGATTTACACTCTCTCTTTCTCAATTGTTATGAACTAAAAACAACATCTCTTTCACTTTGTCTCCATATTCATACAAAAAACCCAAGCTTTTTATTCAAATTTTTTTATGGTTGATAGAGCCATTTAAGCATACAATTCTTGGTGGGTTACTTTCATTTGATATTCTGGGTGGTTCGAGAAGACTTTGTGTGCTAAGAAAGTCATCTCACTTAGTTTAAGGTATGAAATTGAATTTTTTTCCAGATCTGTTCGCGTAGAAGACTTACTTGTAAGTCTTCTGGATGAGCTGGACGACTTACTTCTAAGTCGTCCAGCTGGACGACTTACTTCTAAGTCTTCCAGCTTTGTATGTTAAAAAAAAAAAAAATCTGGACGACTTATAAATAAGTTGTCTAGGAAAAACAGGCTAATTTTGCATTTGACCGAATTATGTCAGATATTTGACTTTTCCTGGACGACTTATTAGTAAGTCGTCTCCGGGAAAGTTAAAATTTCAATATTTTATTAAATCTAGACGACTTACGGATAAGTCATCTTAGGTTAGTTTTGTAATTGAAAAAAAAAACTTTAATTTTAATTTTTTTCCAGAAGACTTAATTTAAAGTCGTCCAGTCAGAAAACTTATTTTAAAGTCGTCCAGTATAAGCAAAGTTTGACCGGAAAAAAATCTGGACGACTTTACTTATCTCAGACGACTTTAGAATAAGTCATCTGACTGGACGACTTTAAAATAAGTTTTCTGACTGGACGACTTAAAATTAAGTCTTCTGGAAAAAAATTAAAATTAAAGTTTTTTTTTTCAATTACAAAACTAACCTAAGACGACTTATCCGTAAGTCGTCTAGATTTAATAAAATATTGAAATTTTAACTTTCCCGGAGACGACTTACTAATAAGTCTACCTAAGAATATCCGTAACCCTAAGAAACACATACAATACTACAATATATTTAATAAAATATTGAAATTTTAACTTTCCCGGAGACGACTTACTAAAGAATATCATGACTCATTACTTTCACAATACTACAATATGTCTACTTGATCAATTCCGTTTTATTTTCAGTTCGATGTAAACGTCAAGATAAAATTGTAAATTTTAATAGTTGTGTCCAAAAGTCTCTTTTGTAGTTAAGTCTCTTTTGTAGTTGACAATAACAATAATATGCAAAACTTGTCCAGGAAGATAATAAAGATTCCTCAGAGTTGGAGTTGATTATATTAACCACTACGAATTATTAAACATGTTGCTGATAAGTACTAAACAAACATAATGTGACAAATTGACAAGAGGAATATTATATAAGACCCACGACAATTAAAGAAGCCCAGAGAGTGTCAGGAACCGTTCTGGATCTGATCTCACTAATATATTTGGTATTTTCAGTTTTGTAAGATTCTCACAATCTAATATATTGAACTAGCTAGTACTTAAAGAAAAACGCTCAAATTAAGTGGCTGACACGTTTGAGCAGTGCCGGTCTCGAGATGGCAAAGACCACACGTACAAAATTTTAAAATTGGTCATTTTCTAGATTTTTGTAAATTTTTAATAAAAAGTAATACATTTATTGGTTTGTCAAAAAAAAATACATACAATGGTTAATTTTTCAAAAAAGGCTGATTTATTCATGTTTTTTGGGTGGGCTGGGGTGCTTGTTGTGCTTCCCTTCTGGGCCGGCGCTGTGTTTGAGTTCTATAATTTGCGTATGAGAGAGCTAACTTGGTCTCCAAATGATCTTTTCTTAACTATTCTCAATGATGCTTGTTTGTGCACATTACATTTTTACCACTACAAAAGTTACAGATGCTTGTTTTCGATTACAGATGCTTGTTTTCGATTTCTTGTTTCTCCTCTTGGGTTTAAAACATACGTTTTACCAAGTTTTAAATAATGTAGTAGCGCAACGATTATTCTATTACGGTACCTATTACGGTATTGCCAGATTTGAACCTATACATGGTCATGTCTTAATCAGTTGGTCCACATGTCTATATGAAATGTAACAACAATTGTAGAATTTGTTATGCATGACCTGATCAAATTATTTCACCTAATCCACATGCAAAAATAATCTCTTTCAATAAGTTTCAACATCAGACAGCTTTGGTTTAGCAAAAAAAAAGATACATAAAATTGAATAGCTTGTACGAACACTTTTTGTGTGTATTCTTCAGTTTAACACACCTCAAAGATCTAAAACTTGCTAGGCAACCAAAGGAATTATAGCCAAAACCACTGTGACAATTACATTGTACTTTACAATCTCTTCAAATAATACCCAGCTAGGAGATTATAGTTACACAATCGATATAAACATATGGGCTTTCAAAAATAAAATAAAATAAAAAGCTTGTATTGATAAAGAATGAAGTTTTATATCCCAAACAATATGAAAAAATGTTTACGTAAAAGAGTATTGGATGATCCATATGAGTGCTGCAAGTTAATTTCTAGTAGATGATCTCCAAGTGTCAAATGTTTCCACAAGTAGAAAAATTACATTAATTCATACGCATATATGATTCATAAGACGTCGGTTTTGTATAGTCGGTACAGATGAGTTTAATTAAGCCCTAGGCCCAACATTTACGAGGTTCGGCGCAAATCAGTTTTTGTGAATTCACGACTATATAAATCAGCCTTGAAACCGCTTCACATTACGTAGATTTTTATATATTTGTGATTCTATGGCCTCTTCGTCTCCTCCTAAGACGATGAAGGAAGAAGGAGACTACGTAGACTGGTTGGATCTTCCGCCGGAACTAACCTCATCGATTCTTATCCGTCTTGGCGCGATTGAGATAGTGGAAACCGCTCAAGAAGTGTGCAGATCGTGGCGTAGCGTCTGTAAAGACCCTTACATGTGGCGCAAAATTGTCATACATAACCCCGGAGGATGGGGAGACCCGTACTACGAGAAACTGTGCCGCCACGTAGTTGATCGTAGCCAGGGAGGCTTGGTTGAGATCGATATCTCCTACTTCGGTTCTGATTCCCTCCTCCGTTACATCGTCGATAGGTTCCCTCTCTCTCTCTCTCTCTCCAGTAACTCAGAATCTCGTTGAATTGTAGTTTTATATCCAGTTATGATCTTTGAGTCCTTGTTTAGAGTAATGGGGTTTGCTTTGGTTTCATTACAGCTTTGCTAAATCTAGGTTTAGAATAAATTTAGCTTCAGGTTGAGAGGTGATTCTTTGAATCGTTGTTTAGAGAAAACATCCACGTTTCTAACGTTGTTATGGTTATGACCTAAGTTTGTAGTTTTAGGTTATTGCAGTGTTCTATAATAAACGGTATATGCGGCCGATTAAGCCAGCTCTAGACCTTCTTATGACGATTAATTTTTAAACCGCCTACAATTTTATAATAATAAATATAATATATAATTATCATTCATAAATTATAATGAATTAGTATAGAATATTAAAAATATATATATGAATTTTATTTTCTGTGAATAATGATATGTAATAGAATATATTATATGTATTGTATATCCTACTAGCTCACAGTATATTATGTGTATTTTATATCCTACTAGCTCACAGTATATTATATGTATTGTATATCCTACTAGGTCACAGTAAATTAAGCTTAACTAGTGAACAAAAAAAAAGTGGTAAACCTCACTGTCAGGGTTTAGTATTTTCTTGGACACTGAATTATTGAGATGCTAGAATAAGATGTTTTGTAATCATGTTTTGCATCTTCTCTATCTTTGCTTATGATTCTAAAGTAACTATTTTGCAGGTCTAGTAACCTGAGAAGCATTAAAGTTGCAGACGGCTATAGAATAACAAGCACGGGACTTATGGAAGCAGTTTCGAAACTTCCTTTGCTTGAAGAACTTGATGTTTCATACTTCCCATTATCAGGAGACTATCTGAAAGTTATAGGCCAGTCTTGTCCAAATCTCAAGACTTTGAAGAATTACTGCGCGGGTTACAGGCTTCCACGAGACGAGTTTGATGATGATGTTGCTCTTGCAATCGCTGAAACAATGCCCCGACTTTGCCACCTCGAGCTTGTCGGGGACATGACATTAACAGACGTTGGTTTAAACGCCGTTCTCGACGGTTGTCCTAACTTGGAACATCTTGATCTACGCCAGTGTTTCAACGTTAACCTTGTTGGGGATCTGGAGAAGCGATGTATCGAGAGGATCAAAGTTGTGAGACGTCCTAATGACTCGGTTCATGGTTACCCTTTTGATGCAACGCTTAATACCTGTGACTACGGTTTAGACTTAGAAGATGAGCTTAATTTAGGCTACTCAGAAGTCTCAGAAGTTGAGTCTTATTATGACTTCTCAGATGTTAGTGACACTTCTGACATTGACCCCTACGATTTTTATCTGCGTTGATAATTAAATGCAATGGTTCCGCAGGTAAAAACCTTTTCAAACTCCTTCACGACCTTCTCTAAGCATTGGACTTTGTGTGTCCTTGAGTAATGTGTGTGACATTTAGTAATATTGTTTGTTTGCCTTTCTGTCTAGAATATCAATAAACTCTAAAAATGTTTCAGATGATGTGATAGTTTCATCTTCCTTTTAACTTAAAATGTTGTTTCCGTTCTGAAACATCAAAGAAAGCAAGCCTTTGTGCTTATTATGCAGTAAGAATTCTCCAAATAAATGGCTTAATTAAGCTAGTTCAGTTTCATCAAGATCACAACTAAGCTATGTAACAATACGAAAAATGGTCTCAGTTAGCAGTCAGTACTCCAAGCAATCATGATACTTAAGCATCTCCAATGGAAACCTATTTTGTCATCTATTATTTACACCAAAATAGAATAAATCTATTATTGAGTAAATTTTCACTAAAAAATGACATTATTCTATTTTTCACTCTATAATAGAGTAACTCTATTATACAATAGACTATTGAAACAAAATCTATTCAATAACAGAGTTATTTTATTTTTATGTAAATAATAAAGGAAAAAATAAGTCTCTACTGGAGATGGTCTAAGGCATGGGATTTTAAATCAAACCCAACCCTCTAAAATGAATTAAAATAATAATAAAAAAATTGTTTGTTCGGTGAGAAAGCACATTTCGATTTGGCAGGATTATAAAAAAATATTTTGTTTTCGAATCGAAATAACCAAATTAACTAAACTCTTGAATCGTACTAACCAATGTAACTAAAGTTATCCTTAATTAAACCGTTTTTAATCAGAATCTAACTGAAATAATGTATAATCAAAACCAAAACTTTGGTTAGTTTCGGTTGTATTTTAAAAAACCAAACTTATCCGATTACCAAAACAAACTGAGCCAAACATTTTATTAGTTACATTCGGCGAAACTTTAGTCAAACCAAACTACCGGAAAACCGAACTACCCAAACCGGCAGGCCGAATAACACTCATGTGGCCCACAACCCTTACAAAAGCCCAACAAGGAGCCCAAAACGAACTAAATTAGTTTCGTAAATTCATGAGGACCACCAGATTGTAAAATAAGTCTTGACACAGCTTCACACTCTCGACATTTTCGATCCATAGGATGGCTTCTTCGTCTCCTCCTACGGCGATGAAGGAAGAAGGAGACTACGCAAACTGGGCTGAGCTTCCTCCTGAGCTAACGTCATCGATTCTTCATCGACTCGGCGCGATCGAGATAGTGGAAAACGCTCAGAAAGTTTGTAGAACGTGGCGTCGCGTCTGTAAAGATCCATCGATGTGGCGCAAAATCGTCATGCAGAACCTCGGAGAATTTGGAGATACTTATTACGAGAAATTGTGCCGCTACGCAGTTGATTGTAGCCAGGGAGAGTTGGTTGAGATCAGTCTCTGCCACTTCGCTACTGATTCTCTCCTCAGCTACGTCGCCGATAGGTTCTGTCTCTCTCTCGACTCCATGTGACATCATAAATTTTGTTTCTTTTTTCAATGGGTATCTTTGAATTGTTGTTTAGAGAAATGGGTTTGCTTTGATTTCAGTTGGATTTTGCTTAATCTAGGTTTAATCGTTGTTTAGAGAAAAACATTCATTTGATGGTTGAGATGAGAAATTAAGATGATTCTAATATTGGTATGCTTCTGAGGCCTAAATGTGTTAGCTTTAGGTTATTGGGATGATAAATTAAGATGATTCTAACACTGTTATGTTTCTGAGGCCTAAAGGTTTTAGCTTCAGGTTGTTAGAATGCTATGAGAAGATGATTCTAACACTGTTATGCTTCTGAGGCCTAAAGGTTTTAGCTTCAGGTTATTAGAATGATATGAGAAGATGATTCTAACATTGTTATGCTTCTGAGGCCTAAATGTGTTAGCTTTAGGTTATTGGTATTCTAGGAGAAGATGATTCTACCATTGTTAGGCTTAAATGAGTTAGCTTTAGGTTATTGGGATGGTAGGAGAAAACTATTTTAACGTTATTATGTTTCTTTAGGCCTAAATGAGTTAGCTTTAGGTTATTGGGATGGTAGGAGAAAGATGTTTTGTAATTATGTTGTGCATCTTATCCTTCTTCTTGTTCTCTATCTTTGATTATGTTTCTAAAGTTTTACACTTAGCTATTTGCAGTTCAAGTAATCTGAGAAGCCTTAAAGTTGCAAAGTGCTATGAAATAACAAGCGAGGGACTTATGGAAGCAGTTTCGAAACTTAAGTTGCTTGAAGAACTCGAGGTCTCATACTGCTCAGTATCAGGAGAGTCTCTTAAAGTTATAGGCAAGTCTTGTCCAAATCTCAAGACTTTGAAGAAAAACTGTGTGGGTTACAGGCGTCCTCGAGACGAGTGTGATGATGTTGCTCTAGCAATCGCTGAATCAATGCCTGGACTTCGCCACCTCCAGGTTTTTGGGGACAGGTTAACAGACGCTGGTTTAAACGCCATCCTTGACGGTTGTCCTAACCTGGAACATCTTGATCTGCGCCAGTGTTTCAACGTTAACCTTGTTGGGGATCTGGAGAAGAGGTGTTTAGAGAGGATTAAAGTTGTGAGACGCCCTAATGACTCGGTTCATGATTACCCATTCGATGCAACGGTTAATGACGTGTCTTCAGACGACGATGACTACCTTTATGGCTTCTCTGATGTTGATGTAATGTCAGAAGATGAGTTTTACTATGATGATGCTAGTGACAATTCTGACTTCGACCCGTACGATTATTATTAGGATGAATCTGTGTTTCTAAAATGCAATGGATTTGCGTTGTAATAAAACCTTTTCAAAGTCCTTCACGACCTCCTTTCAAGCATATACTTGTGGTTTCGTTGGACTCTGTGTGTACTTGAGTAATGTGTGTGACCTTTAGTAATATTGTAAACTCTAGAAATGTGACAGATGATAGTAATAATTTCATCAAAGAAAAGCAAGCCCTGTGCAGTCAAATCTTCTAAAAAGGTTAAAACTTAAAAAGAACAGGACAATGATACATCAAACCGTGCATGTGATCAAAATTAAAATTTTCCGATATCTAGAAAAAGCTATTATATCTATCGATACTTTCATGGCTTTTGTGAATATTAAAAGTTTTGGCAAATTCTCACTGCATTATTCATCTGTTGCACAAATAAAAACGCAACGTCCCTTTTTTAAAAGTGATAATAATCTTTATAAACATAACGGTGACAACCGATATATATAAGAAGGTTTCAAGGATAGGGAAGCAAGGGAGCAAAGTTTGCACCAGCAAGGAGAATGCAGAGGTTTACTTGTTAAACTCAAAGCCTCTAGTAGTTACGTTCTCTTCACGTTACCTACATGGCTACATGAAATACCGGAGACTAATTCAGTTTTCATCACAGTTGTAAGACTTTATATTATAACCCCACTTGATTAAAATAAAAAAGGTTACAAGAAGACCATTCGTAGATAGCTAATTGATAAAAAATATTTCGAGATGATCAGTCCAACACAGGACGTGCCTTATTGTTATTGGTATGTGCACGTTGACATTCTTATGTTATATATAATCAACTAACTATGTCTTTGATCCATAGAATGGCTTCCTCTTCTTCGTCTTTCTCTCCGATGGAGATGAATAAAGGAGGATGCGTAAACTGGGTTGAGCTTCCACCGGAGCTGACGACATCGATTCTTCACCTGCTTGGTGCGGTTGAGATAGTGAAAACCGCTCGAAAAGTTTGCAGATCGTGGCGTCGCCTCTGTAAAGACCCTTCGACGTGGAGCAAAATTGTCATGCATAGTGAAGAAGTTGGAGACAGGAACTACGAGAAACTGTGCAGCCACTTAGTTCGTCGTAGCCAAGGAGGTTTGGTTGAGATCGATATCTCGCGCTTCGGTACTGATCCCCTCCTCCGTTACATCGCCGACAAGAGGTATTGTGTCCATCTCTATTTTTGGTGTTCTTCAATGTGAATCGTATGGGTATGTTTTTTTTAAGTTTTGGTCAATCTAGGTTTTAGCCATTGAAAAATTAATCTTGCGTGCTACGCAAGTTACAAGTCAATTTGTTTGAACTGTTGCCAGAGATTTTGTTCACTATTCCATCATCGTGTTAGAAATAAACGGAGAATAGAACATTTTTATTCTATAATCATTTTTACTCAATTTTAAAGTAAAATATAAAATTTTACATTGAATATTAGACCATCTCCCGTGAAGACCTATTTTTTCCTCTATAATTTATACAAAATAAAGTAACTCTATATACATAGAGTAACTTTAATATAGAGTGTCATTTTTCCACTCCAAATATAGAGTGAAAAAGTGACAATACTCTATATTTCACTCTATAGTAGAATAACTATATTATATAGTAAATTATTAGAATAAAATCTACTCAATAATAGAATTATTATATTCTGATGTAAATAATAGAGGAAAAAATAGGTAGTCACTGGAGATGTCTTTAGATGATTAGTTTTAGGTTTTATTAGGATGCTAGGAAAAGATATTTTGATTATGTTTCTTAGAGCATGTCCATTGTTTAGAACCCTGATTTTAACTATCTCAGCCACAATTTGTTATTACAATAATGTAGCTTTGTTGAAGAAATCACTTAAAAAACAAATAAAGTGGCTGAAAAACGAACACTTGAGAGTTGGGGTTTTGGACAGTTTTTCAACAGTTCTTCTCTTTCTATCACTTACTTTTAATTTTATGTTGGAGTTGCTCTAAAATTTTACACCTAACTATTTACAGTTCTCGTCATCTGAGAATCCTTAGAATCTCATTCTGCTATCAAGTAACAGACGGGGGACTTGTAGCAGCGGTTTCGAGACTTCCTTTACTCGAAGAACTCGAGGTTTCACACTGCTCATTATCAGAAGAATGTCGTCTGAGAGTTGTAGGCCAGTCTTGTCCAAATCTCAAGACTTTTAAGAAAAACGGCTCTGGTTTCAGGGGTCCTCGACACGAGTTTGATGATGTTTTTGCTCTTGCAATCGCTGAAACAATGCCCCGACTTTGCCACCTGGAGCTTGTCGGGGACAGATTATCAGACGTTGGTCTAAAAGCTATTCTTAACGGTTGTCCTAACCTGGAACATCTTGATTTACATAAGTGTTTCAACGTTGAACTTGTTGGAGATTTGGAGACGAGGTGTATCGAGAGGATCAAAGTTGTGAGACGCCCTAATGACTCGATTCATGATCACCCATCCGATGCAAGACACGTGGCGAGTGCTGAGGGGGTTGTTATTATGGGCCGTTAGAGTTTGTTGGAGAGATACCAACAATGACTAATGGTGGGATTCTTCTGTAATTCTCAGTTTGGAATATTCATATATATTGTGTGAAAGTTGTTCTTAATCTACCAATCTTCTGCTTATAAATAAACGTTTCTGTGTTTACATTGATTCGTTGTATAAGACTAACCTTATGGCTTCTCCGATGCTGATATTATGTCAGCAGATGAGTTGTATTATGAATTTATGACCTCTCATATGCTAGTGAATCTCGGATGATCTGTGTTTCTAATCGCATTGGATTAAACCTTTCAAACTCGTTAATGAATTCCTTTAAGCATGCTTGTAGTTTCGTTGAACTTCATGTGTCGTTGTGTAATGTGTGTGAGCTTAAGTAGTATTGTCTTTATGACTTTTGTCTTTCTCGAAGGTCTAAACTCGAACATGTTTCAGATGATGTGATAGTTTTATCTTTCCCTTGACTAAAAATGCTGAGTTTATTCTAAAAAATCAAAGAAAGCAAGCCTTGTGCTTATAATTGCAGCAAGAATTCACCAAAAAAATTGCTTCTACTTGTTCAGCTTCACCAAGATCAAAACTAAACTGTGTAATAACACTGATTTGTCTCAGTTAAGCAATCATGAAACTCTAGTAGAAAATATGGATCAATCTCTTTTTTTGAACAAACAAACATTGCATTACTCTAAAGAGATTTCGTGGAAATGTTAAATTCAAAGACTCTCGTTACGTTCTCTTCACCACCTACATGAAAGAATGGAGACTAGTTCAGTTTTCATCACAGTTGCAAGACTTTTATTATAACTCCACTTGATAAAAACGTATCGTAGCTACCTAGTTGATAAAAAAAAATAAAAATCTAGATGATCAAGTCCAACACAGGACGTGCCCCTGCTTATTTTTATTGGTATGTGCACGTTGACATTTCTACATTATATATGTAATCAACTACGTCTTTGATCCATAGAATGGCTTCTTCGTCTTCGTCTCCCACAGAGATGAATGAAGGAGGAGAATGCGTAAACTGGCTTGAGCTTCCGCCGGAGCTGACTATATCGATTCTTCACCGGCTTGGCCCGATTGAGATAGTGAAAACGGCTCGAAAAGTTTGCAGATCGTGGCGTCACCTCTGTAAAGACCCTTCTATGTGGCGCAAAATTGTCATACATATTGAAGAATTTGGAGACAGGAACTACGAGAAACTGTGCCGCCACCTAGTTGGTCGTAGCCAGGGAGGCTTGGTTGAGATCGATATCTCGCGCTTCGCTTCTGATCCCCTCCTCCGTTACATCGCCAACGAGAGGTACTCTGTCCATCTCTATTTTTGGTGTTCTTTAATGTGAATCAATGGGAAAAAAAAAAAAAAGGTTTTGGTCAATCTAGGTTTAGCCATTGAAGAAATGATCTTGCGTGCAATGCAAGTTACAAGTCAATTTGATTGAACTGTTTCCAGAAATATTACTGTAATGTAGCTTTGTTGAAGACTCAAATTTAAAAACAACAAAAAAAGGTAAAATGGCTGAGAAACGAACGATCACATGACAGTTGAGATTCTGGACAATTTTTTAAAAAGTTCCTCTCTTATTTTATATATCAAAATTTTGAGTGAAAATACTAAAAACTGGGTTGTGGTCAATCTAGGTTTAGCCATTGAAGAAATGATCTTGCGTGTAATGCAAGTTACAAGGCAAATTGTTTGAACTGTTTCCAGGAATATTACTGTAATGTAGCTTTGCTGACAATTTTTTTTTCAAAAGTTCCTCTCTTATTTTATATATTAAATTTTGAGTGAAAATACTAAAATTGTACTACTAATATTATGTCTGAAGAATTGGTTGAGAAACTAAACCAATGCTGATGCTTTAATAGAGTATGCACTAAAGTTTTACACCCAACTATTTACAGTTCTCGTCATCTGAGAAGCCTTAGAATTTCATTCTGCTATCAAGTAACAGACAAGGGATTTATTGCAGCAGTTTCGAGACTTCCTTTGCTTGAAGAACTCGAGGTTTCATACTGTTCATTATCAGAAGAGTGTCGTCTAAGAGTTGTAGGCCAGTCTTGTCCAAATCTCAAAACCTTCAAAAAGAACAGCTTTGGTTTAAGGGGTCCTCGACACGAGTTTGATGATGTTGTTGCTCTTGCAATCGCTGAGACAATGCCCCGACTTTGCCACCTCGAGCTTGTCGGGGACACATTAACAGACGTTGGTTTAAACGCCATTCTTGACGGTTGTCCTAACCTCGAACATCTTGATATTCATGAGTGTTTCAACGTTGAACTTGTTGGGGATCTGGAGACGAGGTGTATCGAGAGGATCAAATTTTTGAGACGCCCTAACGACTCGGTTCATGATGACCCATTAGATGCAAAGGTTAATCACGAGTGTTCATCCGAAGATGACTAACCTTATTGCTTCTCAGATGTTGATAATATGTCATGAGATGAGATTATTAGGATGATCTGTGTTTCTAATTGCATATTGGATTAAACCTTTTCAAACTCGCTCATGACTTCCTCTAAGTATGCTTGTACTTTCGTTGGACTTTGTGGGTTTTTGTAATGTGCGTGACCTTAATAAGCAACATTGTATAAAAGTGTTTTCATATGTGATGGTTTCATTAACAAGGTTTGAGTTTATTCTGCAACATTCAAAGAATTTCTCCATAACTTTACTTTTAAGATTGTTCAGTTTCACCAAGGTCAAAACTAAACTATGTAATAAAACTGATTTATCTCAGTTAGCAATCATGAAACTCTAGTTCGCAATCGTTACGTACTCTTCACGTTTCATACATGATAGATTGATCTCAGAAGGAGAGTAGAATTATGCGATATTATGTTAAGATTGTATTATAACCCCACTTGAAGAAAAAAAAATGTCTTACAAAGTTGACGAAAAATATATATTTCGACTTTGGTCAGACAATCAGTGACGTGCCTTATTGTTATTGCTAAGTGCACGTTGACATTTACCTATTATGACCAGTCCTTACCAGCTATAGAAATTTAATTTAATTACTCAATTATTCATACCTTTTCTATACATCCAAATGTTTGCTTTGGCATATTATATATGCAAGTATGCAAGTGCTTTGGTAATCGATGATCTTGTTTTTCTTGGAAAGAAGTTTTTTTAAAAAAATGAAAAATCTCCATAGACTTTTCTTGTCATTCTTAGCACTGTCTTTTAGCATTTCCAGTTTTGTTCAAGCACAAGATCAACAAGGTATATACACCTTTTTGTGACACTAACTTGTTCGTTGCAAGCTTAACATTTCTTTCTTGTTCTGACCAGGATTCATCAATCTAGATTGTGGATTACAACCCAATGAGTCTCCTTATACCGAACCAACAACAAAGTTAACATACACATCAGACGCCGATTTCATCAAAACCGGAAAAAGCGGCAGGATTCAAAACGTTCCGGGACTAGAGTATATAAAACCATACACGGTGTTGAGATACTTTCCCAATGGAGTACGGAACTGTTATACTCTTAACGTCGTACAAGACACAAACTATTTGATAGTAGCCATGTTTACTTATGGAAACTATGATAATCTTGAGACACCGCCAAAGTTCGACCTTTATCTTGGTCCGAATATTTGGACCACGGTCGATTTACAAGTAAAAGTCAACGGTACAAGAGTGGAGCTCATTCACGTAGCAAGGTTTACTTCTTTAAAAATTTGTCTTGTTAAAACGGGAACAACTACGCCGGTGATATCAGCTTTAGAGTTACGACCATTAAGAAATGATACTTACATTCCTCAGTTTGGTTCTTTGAAGACGTCGTTCCGCGTCTATATGACTGACTCTAAAGACATTATCCGGTACGCCAAAATTAACTTGCCTACATAACATACTGGTTGATAGTTATTTACTAGAATCCCGATCAGGGACGGTCCTGAGATTAAAGGACCCTTAACATTTCAATAAGGGTTTAACAAAAAAAATATTTTCAATTTGGGGGCCTTTTTCATACAATTTTTTTTTAAAAAATTTGGGGGGCCCTAAATCAATGAGACCAATGTTTCATGAGGCTATGCCGAGAGCCGCCCCTGATCCCGATGCAACAAATTAGTTTGGCCAGCCTTTTAGAGTATTTTCAATCCCACTCCATAATATACTGCAAAATGGAGTGGAAAATAGAGTGATGAAGAAACAAAATTTAGTTGATATGAGTTTCTGTAAGGAATAGTAATATAAAATTTCGAGATTATAGAAGGATTGTAAATAAACAATATACAAACCTAAAACAGATGTTTCATTGCATATGTTCTCTGCAGGTACCCTGAAGATGTCTATGATCGTCTTTGGACACCATTTTTCACGTCGGAATGGAAACTGCTTAGAACGAGTATATCAGTCAACACCTCAGATAACGAAAATGACATACCAGAAAATGCATTGGTTACGGCAGCCACGCCTGCAAATGTGAGTTCACCACTGACCATTTCTTGGAATGTGGAAACACCTAACGACTTAGTTTATGCATGCCTCTACGTCATCGAGATCCAATCCTTAAGAGATAATGATACCAGGGAATTTAACATTAGCGGTCAAAATGTTATCTATGGACCTATTAGTCTCGAGGAGCCCGGAGTATATAGTCTATGCAACATATCACCTGTTAAATGCGAAAGAGGGACATGTCATGTGCATATGATAAAAACGGCAAAATCAACTCTACCTCCCATCCTTAATGCTATGGAGGCTTTTACAGTACTTGAGTTTCCCCAGTCCGAAACTGATTCAAATGAGAGTATGTCACCGATAACTGTAAGTATTCATATGCTTTCATATATACATACTTACCGCATGGTTTCTTTTCGGTAATATTTTAGTTGTTGCTATCAAGAGTATAGAAGCAAGCTATGGGTTGAGTAGAATTAGTTGGCAAGGAGATCCATGTGTTCCTCAACAATTCTTGTGGGATGGTCTTACCTGCGAGTACACTAATATCTCTACACCACCAAGAATCCTATCTTTGTATGTGTGACGATCATCTATAAGACATTGTTCTTTTAAGCTCTGCATGTGTTTCTTAATATCTTACACATTTATATGTGTTTATGATCTTAACACCAGAGACTTGTCCTCAAGTGAAATAACTGGAATCATAGTTCCTGAGATCCAAAATCTTATCCAGCTTCAAAAATTGTAAGCACATGCACTTTTACATAAATAGTCTGTTTATTCGTTAACATTTGTATCAATTTTTGTTAATAATAGGGACTTGTCCAATAATAATTTGACTGGAGGAGTACCAGAGTTTCTAGCCAAAATGAAAGCATTGTTAGTCATGTAAGTTACTCTGTCAACTATATGAACACATGTGCAAAACAATGTCCCAATCTATTGATGTTTACATCATTTGTCCTGCTACAGAAACTTAAGTGGGAACAATCTTAGTGGTTCAGTCCCTCAAGCTCTTCTTGATAAAGTGAAGAAAGGGTTAACGTTGAAGTAAGATTTTCTTGTCATCAGTTTTTAGATGTTTATATAAAACACATGTCTTACTTTGTATAATGTCTTCACTAACACTTGCATGTTAACAAAAATAGCATTCAAGGAAATCCAAACCTTTGTTCTTCCAGTTCATGCAACAAAAAGAAGAAGAGAACCATGTTACCAGTAATAGCATCACTCGCTTCATTGGGTATTCTAATATCAGTGATCACTCTTCTTTTTGTTTGTATAAGAAGCACATCAATAAGAAAAGGTATAAGGAACAAAGTCATTAAATCATAAACATCAATGTGTGGTCATTGTTTCTAATTGTTAGATTACTGTCATAGGTTTGTCACCAAGCCAACAATCAATAGAAACCAAGAAGAGAAGATATACATACACTGAAGTTCTTGCAATGACAAACAATTTGGAAAGAGTTCTTGGTAAAGGTGGATTTGGGATGGTCTATCATGGTTATATAAATGGTAACGAAGAAGTAGCTGTAAAGCTACTCTCTCCATCATCAGCCCAAGGCTATAAAGAGTTCAAAACAGAGGTTTGTTTGGCACCATTTCTTTTTGAACAAGATAATCCATATTTGTAAAGGTTAAGTAAGGTACATGTGTTCATGTTTGGATAGGTAGAACTTCTTCTAAGGGTTTACCACACAAATCTGGTAAGCCTTGTTGGTTACTGCGATGAAAAAGACCATTTGGCTCTAATCTACCAATACATGGCCAATGGTGATTTGAAACAACATTTGTCAGGTAACACATTTATATTTGTGCTGGTAACATCCTAAGATTATTTGACATTCATTACTAGCTTTGTTATTTACATGCAGGTTGCTCCTCTATGAGCTGGGAAGATAGACTAAACATAGCTATTGATGCAGCACTAGGTTTGTCCTGCTTAGATATTTACAAATCACCATTCTCATTTTTTTCTAAAATGTTTTGATTAGTTAACACTAGTGAATTATTGAGACAGGGTTGGAGTATTTACATACTGGCTGCAAACCGTTGATAGTTCATAGAGATGTAAAAAGTTCCAACATACTATTGGATGATCAATTCCAAGCAAAGCTTGCAGATTTTGGACTTTCTAGATCTTTTCCAGTTGGAGGTGAATCCCATGTGTCTACACTTGTAGCTGGCACACCTGGATATCTTGATCATGAGTAAGTACTATCTTTTCACCATCTTCTCTATTGGTTAAAGTTAAGGAGATACAATTGTTTTTTTCTTTATTTTGCAGATATTACCAAACAAATAGGCTCTCTGAGAAGAGTGATGTCTACAGTTTTGGTGTTGTACTATTAGAAATCATAACAAACAAACCTGTGATCGATCAAACCCGCGAAAAGCCTCATATAGCAGAATGGGTGAAGTTTATGCTTACTAGTGGAGATATTAACAATGTTATGGATCCTAAACTCCAAGGGATGTATGACTCTGGCTCAGCATGGAAAGCTCTTGAACTAGCTATTACATGCGTGTTTCCTTCTTCTTTAGAAAGACCCAACATGTCTCATGTAGTTCATGAGCTGAAGGAGTGTCTGATATCTGAAAACAAGAGGACAAGAGACATCAACGTATCAAGTTCAGTAGACATTAACTTAAGCTTTGGTTCTGATGTGAACCCCAAGGCACGTTAGGTCTTCTCTTTTGACTTTGCTGCATTCGTTTTTTTAGTTTGTCTGTCGTGTAACTTATGTTAATGAGTCGTTATAAAGATCAAAACTAAATGTTTGTCGCTTTGTAATGAAAGATGAACTGAATAAAACTGAATCCTTACAATAACAAAAGACAAAACAGTAATCCTTGTATATGACACTTGATATTAAGACAAGAAAAAGGGCACAGAATTTAATCAAATGGAAGCTGGAAAGTCAAAGAGGACATTACCTGTTAACAGTGGAAACGCGAGGATTCGAGAAGCTCTGTGGAGAAGAAGAAAGCCATGGAGAAATCGCTGTTGTTCTCTGTAAAAATGGGAACACACATTGAGAGGGAGGAACGGCGTCGTACTACAGTTAGGGTGGAGAACGGCGTCGTTTTGTGCCAAACATTTGAGACGATGGAAAACGGCGTCGTTTTGTGCTAACGCGCTGCTTTTTAAACAATATCTTAAAATCAAACGGATCTCAAAGAGAACTATTAATGATAGTGGAGCGTGATGGTTTTTCACGCGCTTGTGCGAGTGGGCAAGTTTAAAACTTGAATTTCAGTTATTAAATTTAGTTTTTTTCAAAAAAAAAATTGTACACATAATTAGTTTGTTAAAATCTATTAGTTGAAAACTGTATTTATAAGTTTTGAACATTTTGAAATTTTTAAAAATGTTGATCTAGGAAGGACCAAACTATTTTTTTTTATATTGACGTCGTGTTGTTTTCTGTGTATCAGTAGAAACTGCGTGCTGTTTTAAGATATGTTTGACATCGTGATGTTTAGTGCATTCCAATACAAACTGAGTGTAGTTTTGTCAATAAAAATTTCTCTCGCTTCAGCTAAAACTGATATAAGATAAAAAGAGGAAAGGAACAAGTTCACTAGACATTAACTTAAACTTTGGTTCTGATGTGAACCCCAAAGCACGTTAAGTCTCCTCTCTTAACTTTTCTGCATTTGATTTTTTGGCCTGTTTGTCGTGTAAACTATGTTAATGAAACGTTACAAAAGATCAAAAACTAAATGTTTCTCATTTTGTAATGAAACATGAACTGTATAAATCTGAATCCTTACAATAACAAAGACAAAACTGTACATTTAAACTCCATAAACAAGACATGCTTCATATACACTTCATAACCAAGACGTGTCTACACCTTCTCAGACATATAGTGGCGAGGCTGAAGGACGAGGATAAGCAACAAGTGTACTCCCCACCGCGGTCTTTCGAGCAAAACCAGCATTAGGTTTCTTGGAGACAACGCTATCACTTCTCTTACGCATTCTCCTCTCTGTTCTATCAATAATCCCTCCTCTAGCATTATTCAAAGACTGAATGTGTTCAAGGTGTGAAACTACCTCGCTCATGTTTGGTCTAAGCTTAATCTCTTTGACGAGACATCTCAGAGAGAGAGATGCTACTTTACATGCTTCTTCCATTGAGTATTGGTCTTGAAGACGAGTGTCGATGACTCTGAATATTTTTCGTTTGTTTGCAAGGTATGGTTTAGCCCACTCTACTAGGTTCCGCTCTCCTGATGGTCGGTTCTTGTCCACAGCTCGGCGACCTGACAAGAGCTCCAGAAGGACAACACCGAAGCTATAGACATCACTCTTTGTTGTTAGATGACCTAAGGACAATGCAAAGTGATCAAAACATAAGAAGAAACCAACCATGGAAACAGAAATTTGACCAAAAAAGAGTTTTGAAGTACCACCGGTTATTAACCGAACCGAACCTACAGAAACGAATGTTCAGTTTTCGGTTCAGTTCGGTTAGGAGGTTTGGTTTTAGCAATTGAGAAAAAGTTCGGTCTTAGTTCGATTAATCTGGTTTCAAATTTTTTTTTATATTATATCAATCTTAACCAGAATCTGAACCAAACTATCTGAAATAACCAAACTTACCCCCAAATTACCTAAAAATTAACTAATTTAAACCATAATTTATCCGAATTTGAAAACATTAGTTAAGTTAGAAATTTTTAAAACCAAACTAACCAATTACCTTGAAACCGTACTTTTCGGTTCAATTCGACCAGGCTAAACTAACCGAATTAACCCAATCGAAAAACCCGATCTAACCGAACCAGCATGTCTACTTACCGGTTGCAAGGTATTCAGGAGCTGCATATCCGTGAGTACCAATGACCCGTGTAGAGACATGACTTTTATCACCTACTGGCCCATCCTTAGCCAACCCAAAATCAGAAAGTTTAGCGTTGTAGTCCTAAGAACATGAACAAGAAAATATTCATCATAAAGCTTGAAACATCAGCAGTTATTTCTTTGGCAAGGAAAGTTTTAAAATTACCGAATCAAGAAGGATGTTAGAACTCTTGAAGTCACGGTATATAACTCTTGTCTCGGAACTGTGAAGAAAAGCAAGTCCCTTTGCAGCTCCAAGAGCAACTTTTAACCGTAGTTTCCAAGATAAAGGCTGGAAATACAAACCCCCTGTGACCCAAAAACATCACAAAAAGCTTTTAGTTTTGAGGCTGTGCTGAGATAAGACAAAGAGGAAAGGAAACATACTCCTGAAAAGATGATTCTCCAAGCTACCACGACGCATGAACTCGTAAACAAGAAGACGTTGCTCATCCTCTAGACAATAACCAATCAGTTTCACAAGATGTCCATGAGAAAACTGGCCAAGGTAGTTCACTTCAGCCTGCAAAATCATTCAAACACATAACAATCATAACGGATAATAAACACAAACAAGAACCATATTTAGCTTTTATTGTTACCAGCCACTCCTGGTGACCTTGCCAACCATCTTGGTTAAGCTTTTTAACAGCAATAACCAAACCGGTTCCTGGTCCTGTGGCAGTGAGAGACTTGTCATCAATCCATCCTTTGAAGACACAACCGAATCCACCTTCACCAAGCACACTGTCTGGTCTGAAATTCCTGGTTGCGGATTTAAGCTCTGAAAAGCTGAAACTCTTGAGGTTTGGAGACTGTAAGATCTCACCCTCGGTTCTAGGGCTTGGTCTTACAGACACAGATGAAGCTTTACTCCCAAGATTTCCAGTATCTTTGGTGTCAGAATTCATGTACTTTGGACTTACAGCTAAACCCACCAAAAAAACAACAGAACACAACAGAATCTTTAGAGCAAAAACCCTAAACCTCAAAATGAAACAATCAAAGCTTGCAGGTAAAGAAATAACAAATCTAAGAACTTAGCCTCCAGAAGATGAGACAAAGGGAGAAAATGTATTTACCTGGACTCTCAGCTTTCACCTGAGCACTCGAGCAAATCCCCATGATTGAGTGATTCTGGAAGAGGGAACCTTTCTGCAAACTTCAACTATATATCACACTTGATATTAAGACAAGAAAAAGGGCACAGACTTTAATCAAAATGTCTCCCTTTTTATCGTTTCGTTTTATTTGTCATTTCTCTCAGCCGTTGGTTCTGACGTCAGCACTGTACTTCAGTCCTCGAGCTGGTGTGAGTGCGGCTCGGCTTCATTTGTAAGGGTTGACTGGAACAACCAAATTTATCGTGAGAGACTTATAACAAGTATATATGGTCGAGTTAACCATGCAAAAGAATATCCAAAAATGGTTTTCACAACATTAGGCAAAAATTATCGAATCCTTGTAATGATTCTAAGGTTAAAAAAAAAAAAAACAAGAATGATTGTAAGGTTCCTCAAAAAAGTTTAATTAGTTATCATCAATCAATATTGTAATCTACAAAGATGCTTTGAGTTATGACTAATTGCATTAGTTTAAACTTTAAAGTTTCTGAGACTAATCAATATTTTCTTATTCATCGGCTTACCGACTGTGAACAGTGTACTCTTGTGATGTGATGCTTACTTGGAAATGAATAAAGTACAAACTAAATCCGTGAAGGATCTTGGGCCCATTCTATGCTCATTTCATTATCATCTACATGATTCAAGGTATCCTACGATTGAATTAGAATATTAGACCTAGATTTATGAGTCAAGACCGACAAAGATTGTCATTTGACTAGCTGGATTATCCAAATTTATTTGTGTGTTCTTTTTTGTACTCCTCTCAAACTAATCTTGCTTAATGCAGTTACAACTCCATTAATTTATCAGAATACAATTTTATAATACTAGCAGTAATTTGTGCATAATTTTTTTTAAAAAATACAGGTGTTCTTTTCTTTTCTTTTATATAATAAAATCATTTAGATACCAATTCACGTATTCACTCCTTCTCAAATCATGTAGTTATTGTTTCTATAAGTTAAAAAATGTAAGTAAATTTTCACTGCTACTTTTGAAAGAGAGTCCATCCAAAGTGATATCTGAAAAGCAAAAATATGATGCAATTTTCAAGTCCACGGTACTGGCCCCGTTGTTGAATTGTTTTTCCCCCTCCATCGCTTTTTTTGCCGGGTCACTTTCTCTTTGGATTAATTCCAGTTAGATAAACTTCACTTTAAACAGAGGCCCACTTTTACTCAGTGGTCAGCCCATTAGTAATAATTTAGTATAAACAAAATTGGCTAATGTGCATTGGCATCTAAAGGAGTTTTTGTGTATGATTTGTTTAGTATTTTTATCCCTTTGTCTCTTTGGATCATTGGATGTGACAGTGTGAACGAATATTTAGACGGTTTGACTTTTACATGTTTGACCCTCTGGTGGGACCTAAAGAGAGACAAAGGTCCAATGACCACTTGATAGCATGTCTGCCCAGAGCTAGATTCCCTGCTTTTTCTTTCCACGGCTCCATTAACTTATGCGGCTAGCTCCCTTTGAGCCAGTGAAGTAGTTACAAAGCTGTTATGTTCAAGCAGCCTTGATTGAGTCAAGGCTTATACTGTTCAACAAGTTTCAACAAACTGTATGACTCAGCATCAGGTCTAGCACCACCTAAAACCATCCTCTTGAACAGATTAGGATCATAGACTCTACCTTTCACATAAGCCTTGAACATAGCGTTATACACAAACGCATACCTATTATACTTGGCAGTATTCAACTCTTCAAACAGTTTCTCCGAGTTCTCCACATCACCTTTCTCCGCAAAACACTCAATGATCGCTAACGTCGTCTCCAGCCACGGCGTTGAGCTTCTCACACTCTTACTCGTCTTTAAATTCGAACCCATCTCAATGTTTTTGAGAGCTTCCTTCATCAAATTAGCTTTAGCACATCCTAAAGCAAGATGCCTATAGGTTATCGAATTAGGCTTACACCCATCTCCAGTCATCTCGCGGAACACACCAATAGCTTTCTCTATCAAACCATCTCTGCAGTAAACTGAGAGCAAAGAGTTGAACTGCTCTGTTTCTTTAACTCCTCTTACGTCTTTCATCTCTAACCAAACCTCTTCAGCTCTATCAACATACCCTAATCGACCAAACGCTTCCGTTGCCAGCAAGTAACTCTTTGACCTAACATGATTCAACCCTTTGACAACATTCCACACTCTTTCCAACTCCTTTTCTTTACCTAAACGTCCGTAAAGAATCATCAACATATCAAAACTCGACCAATTATTCCCTGTAACAGCTTTCTCAATCTCCTCCGTATAAGCTTCAGCAACTGTATACAACCTCGCAACAGCATGTGCCATAGCCAATATACAATAAGAAACCTCATTTGGCTCAACTCCAGCTTTCTTCATACCATCAAAAGCCTTTACAACCCCATCAACGTTGTGTTCATTAGCCTCAAGCTTCATCAAGATATGATACGTTGAAACATGAGGAACGGCTTTGTCTGCCTTCATCAGCGCAAGGTCTTTAGCGATGAGTTTTCTTCTTCCTGGAGCCGAGTTTCGGATTATAAGACGGTTGTAAACCAAATGTGAAGTACGATGACCGAGCTCTCTCATCTTCTTCATGTACCCGAGGGCGAGTCTCATGACTCCTTGGTCTAAACAAGCGATCACGAGGTTGTTGTAGAGAAGCTCGTTCTGAAACTCTTGAGGGACACGTGTGAAGAGTGTTTCTCCTTGTGAGATGCCGTGAAGCTTCACTGTGAATTCAAGCAAGTAGGAATATTCTAACTCACCAAGACGGTAAGGTCTTTCTCTGATGATCCACTCCATTAACTAAAACACACATATACCAAAACGTTAGAGCTTTCACATTCAAAGAGTATCTCTGTAAAACAAAAAGCACCATTATAACGTCTTTAAGTTCCATATCCAAAACAATTCAGACACATCAAACTGATTCTGAATTTGACTTGACAACAAGTGAAGGAGACAAGTTGAGTTCGAACACAAAAACATAAAGAGGGCACCACTGAAACGTCTTAAGTTCCATTTCCAAAACAATTCAGACACATCAAACTGATCCTGTCTTAAATTCAAGACGAGTGAGGGAGACAAGTTGAGTTCGAACACAGAAACATAAACAGGACACCATTAACGTCTTAAGTTCCATTTTCAAAACAATTCAGACACAACAAACTGATTCTGTCTTAACTTGACAACCAGTGAGAGAGACAAGTTAAAGAGGGCACCATAAGCTCCACCTCCAAAACAATTCAGACACATCAAACTGATTCTGTCTTAACTCAACAACGTGTGAAGGAGACAAAAATTGAGTTCCAACACAAAAACATAAAGACGAGAGCGAAGCAAGTAAAAGGAATCATACCTCAAGGGCACGTTTGTTTCTACCAAGCTTTCTCAATCTATTAATAGCGTGATAAACATCTCCACCATGAACTGGAAACCCATCTCCCATCCAGCTCTGCAAAGCAGACCCAACAGTTACTCCTTTTGGTAGCTTTTCGATTCTAAGAGACAAACACTTGTTGGGCTCTTCTTCACCGTCTGATTCGCTACATGTCGGAGATATTGTCGAAGAGATTAGGGTAGTGAGAAAGTTCGAGACTTGGAAACGAGTTTGATGATCCAACGCAGGTGAATATGGCACGCAAGGTGTTCGACGTATTGCCTGAACGAGATATTCTCGTTGCCTCACCAAAGCGACAATAGATCTCATTGCTTCTTTCTTTTGAGACCTTACTGGCCCGTAATCATCTATATTGTCATATAAAGCCCAATAAGTACATGGTAGAATTCTATTTTGTGTCTTCATTTTTCCTACTTATGTTGATTTTATGTTGATTTTACCAAAATATCTTGACCAATGTTCTAAAAATCGGTCTAGGCACCGACTAGGCGCCCGCCTAGGCGGCAAATCCCTTCTTACCGAAACGATTTTCTTAAAATCCGATTTATACTATTCAAGTCGGTTTAAACCGTTTTAAATCGGTTTAAATTGCTCTAAAACGTTTATAATTAGTTTAAATTAGTATAAATTTGTTAAATTAAGTAATAATGTAGGAAATAATTACAAATATGTGCAATTTATTTTATTTTGTATATCGGATTTTGATAATTTGTTAAAATAAAATTATAATTAAACCAAAAAAATTAAATCACTTATATAAATGTAAAATATATATAAAATAAATCAATAATTCGTTAACGCCTAATTCCCGCCTAGGCCCCGAATAATCCGCCTAGGCGCTAGTCCTCTATAGAGCGCCTAGTTTCCGCCTAGCGATTTTTAGAACATTGATCTTGACACTAGTGAAATCAATAATTCTGCTGATTTGTAATAAGATAATTAGTACTCCATCCCTCCCTTTCACTTTCTAAGTCTTTCTAGATTTCTATTCACAGATTAATAAAATATTTAATTTTATATATTTTCAAGATAAAAACACAATTATCTATACACTTAATCATTTTCCAACCAATAAAAAAATAAAATATTATATAAAATTAATAAATTTTGCCTCGAAATTCTAAAGCGACATTTAATCTGTGACAAGAAATTAAGCGTAGAATGACAATATTCTGAAACGCATGGAGTATTTAACAATTATGCTAATATTTTCTTCTGTTTAGTGATTGGTTACTTAGTTTAAATCATTACTAGTGTTTGGTTCAGATTTTGAATTTATGATTTTGTTTAATATAAGATGAGATTATCCTGGTTTATTGGGATTAAGCATCAAATATTAATCAACCAGATTTACTACCGTTTGGGATTAAGCACAAAATATTAGTCATAATTTAGCTGATTAACCGGATATGGAGAGAGGAGGCAGACAAATCTTAAAATCACAAAAGTCAATAGATATATATTTTCTTTTCTTTTTTTTCTTTAAGTTACAAATGGAAACATTACACAATCACACAATCAACATAGAGAAGCAGGAAAAAGTCATGGTTAAGAGAGTTATTACGCAACATATTATGCCAGATCTTTATTCAAACACACACACACACATCTCTTAACATCAAACACATTTCTTTCCACCAGTTTTCCTGCATACATGTGATTTACACCACAATTAACAATTGCAGCTGTCCCCACAGCTACAGTTTGATCCGCAGCTGCAGTTGTCGCACTCCGTGTTGTAGTTCTTCTCGCAACTTCACCACACACACACACAAAACAAAAGTTTTGAGTTTTTGATAAAGAATAGGGTTTTTAGTAATAAAACCCCTCAACTAAAGATAGATCGTAAAAAAAACCCTCAACTAAAGATTTAGTGAAATAAACCCTCAACTTTAGTTCCGTTAATGTTTGTCACCCTCCGTCACAGAATTTTAGACGGAGGGTAACATACGTTAACATAACTAAAGTTGAGGGTTTATTTCACTAAATCTTTAGTTGAGGGGTTTTGTTACTATTCATCTTTAGTTGAGGGGTTTTATTACTAAATGCGGTTAAATATTTGAAAATCTCTATTATCAGTATTTAAGAATTTTACAATTGATTTATAAACATTGAAAATATATTCTAATCTTTTATATATTATTTTATCAACTTTTTTACCTATTTATAAAGCTTAGTAAATATTTTATTTTTTTATAAACTATTAATAAGGTTTAATGATGATTTTATAAGCTTTTGTCTGCTATTTCTTAGGATGAAATAATACATGATTTTTCTTGATATTACGAAGTAAAGCGATAAAGCTTTATAAAAGAGGAAACACATACAATTTTCTTATATTAATACTTTAAAATATCAAATAATTAAGACTTCTAAGTTATATAAAGTTGTAGGTAGTGTTGAGAATATTTAATTAGTTTAGAAATTTAACATTGTTACTTAAAATATGGCAAGGGCTTTTTTCTCCTCTTTAAACAATTTCAATTTGATTCGTACTTTTTTTGTTTTAGAAGAACTAATGTAGGATTATTTTTTTTTTTTTTTTTAATTTCTGAACCAATATGTTATACTCCTACCATATTAATCAATAAGTTTTTCTTTTTTTATTTATTTACTTCATGTTTTTGTAGTATGACGAATAATCACTTCTTTAATCTTATAAAATCATCATTAAACTTTAATAATAATTTATAAATATTATTAAATGAGAAAACTTTATAAATAGGTTATAAAATTGATAAAGTAATATATAAAAAATATAAATTACTTTCAAATTTTATAAATCAATTTTAAGATTCTTAAATAATGAATAAATGTTAATAAAGATTTTAAAATATTTAACCACATTTAGTAATAAAACCCCTCAACTAAATATGTATCGTAACAAAAACCCTCAACTAAAGATTTAGTGAAATAAACCCTCAACTTTAGTTCTGTTAACATATGTTACCCTCCGTCTAAAATTCTGTGACGGAGGGTGACAAACATTAATAGAACTAAAGTTGAGGGTTTATTTCACTAAATCTTTAGTTGAGGGGTTTTTTTACGATCCATCTTTAGTTGAGGGGTTTTATTACTAAAAACCCTAAAGAATATGATGAAACCACATGCATATATATATGCATGTAAATTTTAAAGAATACATAATCTAGGGTTTAGAGTATACAATATGATCATGTAAAAGGCAAATAAGATGTAATCTAGGGTTTACCTGCAAGAGTCACCACATTTGCAACCGGAACCACATCCACAGTTAGAACCTGCCATTGCTTTTCTTTGATTTAAAGTTGTAGTTTGTTTTTTCTTCTTCTTTTGATTGCTTTAATGTGTTGTGACTTGAACAAAGGGAATGACCAGTATTTATAGAGAAAGAAAATGAGAGAAAGAGTCGGTCTTGTATAGACCATACACGTTTCATTCCGTGTATGGATAGAATCAAAATACTTTTAGAATAAGTTATCTATGATAGAGCATTTCATTTGTGATTCTTCTATTTATTTTAACTAGAACCTTAAATTATTACAGAGAGAATCTTTAAAATAATACTGGCTTAAATTAAAAATATCCAATTTTAAAGTTGTTAAATTATTTTTTCCTCCAAAGAAAATTATGGATCATGAAATGGCTAAAGTAGAAATAAATTTGTTTCGTTATAGACAAATATGTTATGATGACTAAATTATAAATCAACGAATAACACGAATTTTTATCTTTGGCGGAAATAAAATCAATTTGTCCACTAACTTTTTAAAAGTAAGATCTTAGACTTGCTATACTAGTTTCAAGAAAATAGGTTAATGTTTTATTTGAGTTTCAAAAAAATTGATGTATCAAATTAATCGGGAATACGAAAAAGTCGTACACGCAACAAAGAGTTACGACATCCAACCAAAAAAGAGGCATGAAACGTGCCTGTTTCATCTGGCTTACTATACCTTTCTTTTTTGTTTTGTCTAAACTTAGTTACCATTTTGACATACAATATGAATATTTTGACGTATATTATATGATATTCATTCAACCAGCACGTCTATTATTCATTAACTACCTAACTAACTTTCTTTTGTAAAAATTATTATGTAATTCTAACAAGTTGCTCTTTGTGATAAAGACATTAGGTATGTGTTATGTTGTATCATATGAAGAGGATGCACAACATCCTTTCTTCCACGTCTTATAGAACTAAAACTACTAATGCGTCTAGGAAACTTAATTATTTTACAATTAACAAACAACTCAATGCACTGACTACGTTCTTAAATTAGCAAACATATTGCTAAGCCACTATAACATATAACAATCTTGAATACTAAACCACAACAGAAACCGTGAAAAATGTTTCATGACACAACAATAGAGCCAAAGAGATACAACAAAAACTAAACTAGTCAACACATATATTCTCCAATTTCAATCTCTCTGATCCCTCAACATCACCGTTTACAAGCATTTTCAAACCATCTTTCAGCTCAGCTACACCTTCTTCAAGAACAGCACAAACCGGAAATATCCTCACTCCTTTCACTCTCCTCTCAAGCTCCACTAACCTCTCATCAGCCCCTTCCTCATCAATCTTGTTCGCCACGATCAAAGACGACCTATCAGACAACCCTTCTTCATGAAACTCAAGCTCCATCACCAAATCTCTCAGCTGTTGCCACGGTGTCACTCCTTTATTACCGTCTAGCCCCGATGCTAAGTCCACAACGTAAGCCAACACTTTAGTCCTTTCTATGTGTCGGAGAAAGTTGTGGCCTAGCCCTCTGTTCTGATGAGCTCCTTTGATGAGCCCTGGAATATCAGCTACCGTCATGGAGAAGTCATCGTAGTTGACGTTACCTAGGTTAGGACGTAGCGTTGTGAACGCGTAGTGGCCTACACGTGGCTTAGCACGGGAGAGAGCACCGAGGAGAGTGCTTTTCCCTGCGTTTGGCATTCCGACAAGACCAACATCAGCAATGCTCTTTAGTTCTAGTATCAGGACAGCTTCTGTACCAAGAGAGCCAGATTTAATACTCGAGCGTTGACCATTATCATCATCTTCATCATCATCGTCCTCCATTGTCCTCAATGTTGTTGTTTTAGCGAACTTGGTGCCTCTTAAATAACGTGTAGCGCAAACGCTACCTAAACCGCCTTCACCACCACGTGCAATGAGTATTCTCTGACCTTGTTCCGTTAGTTCCGCAACGTTATACCTTACTTGATCAACATCGTCTTCAAAATCAGATTCCATTGGCGTGTCTACATGTATTGCTACACTATCTTCCTCAGCTTTAACTTGAAGAGAAGAATCTGGAGTAGTTTCTTGATTAACGACGGAGGTTTCCTCTGATGCAGGATCTTCAACCAGTGTGCCAGGAAGGTCCCATGGATCCAAACTTGTGGGAGAGACAGATTGAACTTGAGATGGAATCTCACCCTCTTGAAGATGAATCACTGTCCCAATGGGCACTTGCAGGATCTAATAGGGACACAAATAAGCGACAAAAACATAAACAAAGAAACAGAGGAACACTAGTGAGTGATACTGATATATGAACCTTGTCTTCTCCTCTGTTTCCAATCCTGTTCTTGGAAGTTCCATGCCCAGCTTTCCCACCTTTCTGCAAAATGTATATATATAATCACTTAAGACATGAGATATATTACTAGGCAAAAAAACGAAAAAAGAAAGAGATGCATAATAAAACTTACAACATGAGGTTGTAATCCGCTGAAGTCCCAAACTTCATGCGTGCATTCTAAAATCACATCACCTCCTCTCCCACCATTTCCACCTGAACTAAGTTTAATTACATCAACATTCTTCTTTAATCAATCACTCACACTATTATAGGCATCCGTCAACAAATCGGACCTAAACAAAATAACTTTTATAACGTTTTTTTTTTTTAAATCGTTCAAACAGGCTCAAATTCGGTCTAGACGTCCACCTAATCAATTTTTAACATAAAGCATCTAACTACTGCCTAACACTTTTTTGAATATTGATCACTCATGTTTGCCGCTTCCTAAACATCCACATACCAACATTCTTCTTTAATCAATCACTCACATTATTTTATAAATCCGTATAGTCGACAAATCAGACCTAAACAAAATGATTTTTAGAACGTTTTTCTTTTTAAATCAGTCCTCAAATCCGGCCTAGACCCCTGCCTAATCAACAATTTCATATAAAACGTATAACTACAGCCTAAAAATTTCTTGTAACACTAATATTTGCTGCTTGCTATACATCCACATACCAATTCTAAGTATACAAAATCTACAACATGATCCCAAATTTATAATCATTACATAGCGTTTATGTAATAATAAAGTACCATCTGGTTTTCCGTAGCGATCAGTACGTGTCTTGCGTGCACTGGAACAACCACTGCCACCTTCACCGCCACGTGCATACAGAGTAAACCTATCTCTCATTCTAGTCTCCTGCACAGTAACATAAATCATAAACTCAAACAAACAAAAAGGGTTTTTGCTTGAGGAGGAAGTCAGTGAGTAGATAAGGAACCCACCTGCAAAGGCGCGACCTTTTCTTTCTTCTCCGCGGAATCTGAGTAGAAAGCAACTTGATAGCTCATCCATGACGGTGTTTGAGTTCTTTTGTAGGATCTCAAATATCGGGCGGGAACCGCTCGGTTTAGCCACATTAAGTTGTTTCAGTTAACGGATCTCCGGTGAGATGATGAGGTTGTTAGAGTAAGATAAGTAGCGAGGAGACGGAGGAAAGTGTCTCGCCGTAGTGAAAGGGGGAGAAGGAAACCAGAGGAGGGTTTAAGCTAATGGGCCTGGCCCATATTACGGCCTTATAAGATGACTTTCAAAACCCATGAACTTGAATAATAAAGACTCGTGAATTGTATAATTTCATGTTTTGACTTTTGTGTATTGACTAATTTGTCTCTTGTTTCTCCATGTCATTATTGATGTATTGCTTGTTTTTGTTTAGGTGAGTTACTTCTCGCAGTAAAAGAATTGTCTCATACATGAGTTAGTATATACGTACATGCCATGAGATAGGCTGATGATAAGGCTCAAATTTGATATTGAAAGCAACGCTAGAACTTGCTTTGAACTAGTGGAAATTTAGAAGAGATTGAAATTGAAGGGGAAGTTAGGTAATCTAGTATCATAGCTAGTGTACACTCTATATTTAACGCATAGTTTAATTATGGAAAGACAGTTACCAGAAAAAAAAATAAAAAAAAAAAGGTAGAGTCAAAAAAGCATTTCCAAATGATTTTAACCTACTCTCATAAAGTGGGACTATCATAAAAGTTTGGGGTCCAGTTCAGGACATACAAATCTCTGCACGCATTGTTTTCCGTGTCAATCTTTCTTTAACGTTTTCTCCATTATATAGCTCAACTTTTTCGTTTTATAGCTTCTTGCTTCTTTTTTTTTGTTCAAAAAAAAAAGCTTCTTGCTTCTATCATTCGAAATTTTACTATACTTCTTAGAGCATGATCAACGCATCAGTTTTTAGTGGGGTGCTTATTTTTTTAATTTTTTTTTTTTTTTTTAATTTTCATCCTATTTAAAAAAAAAAAAAAAAAAATTAAAAGAGAACGAATCGCGGGCCGCCACGTGTTGGTGGGGCCCGCGCACAGTGCAAGCATCACACGAAAAGGGACGCTTGTTTTGGCACCAGAAGCACCAGATTTTGTGTTTTGTGTGGGTCCCCTCCTCTAAAATCTCTCCTAAGCACTCCTTCTTTTCTCCCATTAATCCTGCTCTTATTGCAAAATCACTAACACTGTATAAGTTCCTGGTACTTTTTTTAAAAATGCAATATCCTTAGTAAACCAGACGCCAAAGTTGTCACATTAGATCTAATTTATAATATTCAGTGACCAAAACCAATATATATACTCCGAGCTAGTTACCTTAATCATACTTGTGAGTAGTCAACTAAAATGCATTTCAAAACATAAAACCTAGACATACATTAACATTTCTTAAACGAATTGGTTTTACCTTTTAGCTATGTCGTATGTATATATACGTTTATATCTGATGATTCAACCAATAACAATATTTAGAAAACTATACGTAAGTATGCTTTTAACCCATGCAAAAGCTTTATCATTCATTTGTAGTACTTATCTATATCTTGAACAGATTTAGTTGGAATATTTTATGGAGGATCATGCACCCACATAAAACAGTACTGACACATAGATTCGTACAAGAAGACTGTAAAAGAAAAAGAAGCTCCTAGAGATATGAGAAAAGGAGGTGTGTTTAAGAGTTTTACAACGTAGCATCCAGAGAGAAACGGATTTGTCTGATCAAGTTCCTTTGTCAGCAAACCCCTTTTTACTTTACGAATTATCCTTAACTTTTATATATATTAGTATAAAATTTTCTTTAGCAATCAATATATCGTCAGTAATGTTCATTATGGGATCAGGCAAAAATCTATACCCATAACTGGAATAAATTAGAAATAACCGAAACAATATATATTTTCATAAGATTTAATAGGTATATAAATATATAAATTGGACTGTTACACACACACGAGATGAATTTGTTGAGAGACAAAGCTATTCGACCATGAAACCACACAATACAAAATTTATATATATGACACACCTGATTATATATAAGTACGATCTTAAATTGTATACCAAACCTGTTTCGATACCTTTTAGTTTGCATGCATTTGACCACGACCATTCGTGGTCATGTAAATCAATCTCCACGTCATAATATTTATTGATGATCCAGCAAACACACAAAATCTCACAAGAGTTGATGATCATGATCGTTAGAAAAAGGACCGGAGAAATCCGAATTATTGCTCCAAAAGTAATGGTTTGTTTGATTCCCCTGAGGGATCAAACCGGAGACCGGTCTAGAGAAGTTAACCAGATTAGGTTGTTCTTCCATCTTCACCGGAGCTGTTTGGTAAATTCTCGAATCAACCATAGAAGTAGAGGAAAAAGATAACCCGACGTCGTTTCCGTTATTTCCCTCGTTTTGAAAAGCGTATGACGTTGGATCAAAGAGAGTGAATCCAGCAGACCCCATTAGGTTGTTTTCACTGTTGTTGTCATGAATATTTCGTCCATTTCCGACATGAAGAAACCCTAACTCGTTCATCAAACTTGAACCAATCTGGTGAGCTTGGTTGTTGCCATTAGCAGCAGCTAAGTTCAAACCAATACCTCCGAGTTGAGTAAGATTTTGAAGAGTTGGTGAAAATGGGAACTGTCCCGAGTTAAAACTCGGAGCACTGACCGTGGAAGAAGGCTGTTTAGATGAAGGAGATTTTGAATTACCATTTTTATTCTTTTTGCTATTTCTCCGCCGGCCTCCACCGACGGGGACGTCTCTCAATTTGCCGCCATCTGTCCAGTAGCGGCGGCAAGCTTTACAGTAGTGGCGAGGCTGAGTGGGGTTGTAGTTGTTGTAGTAACAGAACTTAGTGTTGATTGAGTTGCATCGAGGACACTTTAGGGCTCCCTCAGGTGGAGGAGCTTTGGCTTGCCTCGCTCTCTCCGCCATGGATCCACCACGCCTTGCATGAAGACCACTGGAGGCAGCGGCATGGTTAGGGTTAGGGTTTGGTGGGAAAGGTGGAAGTTGATGTGAAAGTAGTCCCTGGCCATTCACTAAACTTCCATTTTCGTTAAACTGAAGCTGATTCGAATTGGTAGACTGAGAAAAAAAAATCAAAATCAAAATCAAAATTAATATAAACCAAGAAATCAGATAATCCAGACTGGTTCTTGTTTATAAAACAGGTGCTATCATATATATATATATATATATATATATAGCTAGATGTTATGATTTTTGTAAAGAAAACGGGATTAGAGAAAAAAAAAGCAGATGAGAATAGGAATATATCTTTAGGAATGAATCAAAACTATTACTAAGCGAATAAAAACATATAAATTGCAAAAGACAGAGAGAGAGTAGAGTGAGAAAGACAGAGAGAACATTTAGTAATGGAAGATCAAATTAAAGAGGTGAAACCTGTGACCAATTGGATGAGAAAACCATTGTTCTTCTATACCATTTATTATCTTTCTTTAATAAAGTTTAATGGATCTTTAGGGAAAAACTTGGTGGGAGAATCAAAGAAAAAAAAGAGAAAAACTAAAGAGAGGAAGCAAGACGAACAAAGAGAAACGCAAAGAGAGAACAAAATCAGTATGGAAAGTGAGAAGAGAGAAGGAGAACAAAGACAAATTAAAGGTGAGAAAATGCTTTGTTAACCAGAAAAAGAAAAGGAGTTATGGTTCTTTTTATGATTTCTAGACATGTTATCATGTGTATACGCGTCTATAATTCACCAATGTGAATTTTTTTATTTGTGATTCCCCTTTTTAGGGTTTGAGTGGGGAGATTTCTTCACCTATAAGGTTCCTCTTCGAGACGTCAATGGAATAAACACATTTATAAGGGAAGAAATGTCTTGAAAAGATAGTATCAAGAGATTTTCATCTAATTTACATAATGATACCTATTAATTTAAGCTTTTGATTATTGTAGTGAGATTACAGAGTGTTACTTAGGGTTGGATTGGTGAAACATTAACACAAACATTATGCTGCTTATCATTTAATCAACTATTTTTTTACAAAACCATTCAGATGCAAATGTTCTCTAAATAATGTTTGATTATTTTTTTCATATAAAATTTCTGGTAGAACATTTAACTTTTAAAATATTTAAAATTATCTAATCAATTTATTTTCTTTAATAATATAATATAAAATAACATAAAAATATGTTTATATAAATTTTTATTTTTAAAACTGAAATTTGTAATTTAAAAATTAAAAGTTACGATTAATATAAAGATAAGTTTACATTAATAATATAATTATAATTATACATTAATAAAAAATATAATGTGATACCATTTTATTATTAGTTATAGAAATCAAAGGCTGTAGAAAACGATACTATATTACTAATAAACGTAGATCAATTTATTAAGTTGTGCAAAAATGATATTTAAAATAAGGGAGATGGATCGGAGTGTATATGGAGTTTCAAGTTTAAAACAATTTTTTTTAGTCTTTTACATAACAAGAGAAGCAGAATTATATAGTCTAGTTTCTAACTGAAAATAAAGAGTCGGTAAAAAAAACTGAAAATAAAGTTAATTTTTGTTGTGTGTTTAGTATAGCTATTTAAAATTATAAACAGGAAAGGTTATCTATAAAAGTATTTATATATTAAAAGCATCTAAGCAAAAAGTTACACGAGGTAGCTAGGGAGAATTCTTTCTTTGACTCTCTGTTCTTTATATACTTTTGATATCTTAACCATGAAATTTCGATCCACTGTTACTCAAAAATATTTTTAAAGTTTTGAAAATGTTCTTATACATGATTAAAAAATAACATCAAATGATATATTAACCCTTCCCAAACCTAAAATGTATGGTCTCTTATAAAATTCCCAAGTTAAAGCATAATTAATGGGAGAGATCCATTTGAAATTCTTAGAACATAATAATTTGATATTTTCGGATAGGAGACGTCTCTTATATCTTTTATATTTTGGAGATATTTTTTAGTTAATAAATAAGAGACGTATTTTATATTACACTAAAAATCCATCCTAAAGAACTCTATTAATCATGTTCTTCTAGTGTATTTGGAACCACAATTTGTTATAGGTTATTTTCAGAACTTTTTATTTTTGTTCTTAAAGGCAAGAAATAAATTAGTGGCAAGTTATGACTTTACTTTTGTCTTTACGAGTAATTTGAGTATATGGGTATAATTAATCAAGAACAATATATATGACATCATTGTAATTCAGATGTCAAGCCCCATATGCCATATTAAAGCACATCATCATCATTCTCCATTACACTTTTGTTGGGATCTTGTCTATTATAGGTACAGTGTGGAGTAAATCTTTTTTTTTTCTTGCATCAGTAGTTCAGTACGAAAGAGCGTAAACACTAATCAGGCAAATAAAAGGTGTTACTATGTCTTTACATACTTTGTATTCAATGTAGTCGACTACATATGCATAACGAAGTCCATATTTCAGCCAAATGCTCTTCAACCAAGAGATATCGGTTAGTGGTGGCCGGTGATCACAAGGCAAGCTATGTTTAGAAAGATGGGCAAACTGGTTCTGCGTATTTAACCTCATAGAACCTTTAAATTGATTTAATACAATTCCTGACATATAAATTGCATTTTGTGTACTTAATCAACCTTTAGTTAACAGTATAAGGACTAATTAAGTTCATTTACCACAATTTTTTTTGATGAAACTCATATATATTTTACGTTTTTCAATCTAACTTTTACGACATCTAAAATACTCAAAGAAACTACAACGTCACTGGTCTTCTAGTAGATAATGAAATTTGGTTCTCAAAGTAAAAAAGAGTCGCTCGTTTGCGACTTCAACTTTTAATATTGGGCCAAAATATTATGAAACAAAACGTACTACTCATTAAAAGAGCTTTACATTTTGCAATTTGTCTCTACATTTTCTCTTCACTTTTTCTTTTTTCTCCTTTGATCTTTTTCTTATCTCTTCATTGATCACTCGTTTTGTTTCTTTGACGTCATGACTCATTTCGTCTATAATTGCGAACCCTCTTTTACAGAAAGGGACCGCCAAAGATAGCCTACTTGCAACATTATTATAACACATTGCTTCGAATGGGCCAAAACGCTCCACCGCAAAAAAAAATCTTAATATGTTTTCTCAATAAGCTAAAGGAGACGAAAATACAAGGACGTTCATGCATGAGTCCATCACGCAGGTCATTTTCATATACCAAACCATCATGTACACTCTTATCGTTCTTCGTCTTCTTTTGCCCTTTAAATTGGATAAATGCGCATTTGAGATTAAGCTACTTTTCAGGATTTTCCTTGGAAAATGTGTGCTCCGAAATTCTTCTATATCACTATTTGCTTACAGTCGTATGGTATTATCGAGAAATGATTAATTATAAATTTTTAACTAAACATATAATTAAAACTAAAGGGTATTCCTGAACATTCCTTCACTTTTATTGAGCCTTTTGATGCTACCGAAATTGTTAAGCCACATATATGCCGCTCAAGCAAATATCCTAGTGCAAAGTAGCATGCAAAGTTTATACAAAAGACTCTCCTCTTTTTGTTAAACATGCAAAAAGATTTCTTCACATTAACGTAAAATAGTCAACTTAAACAAGAATACTCACCGAAGTCTTAATACTTCAGTTTAGTGTTTAGTATTTTCGTCAAACATGTACGTGGTGGCACCCCAGTAATTAGTCGAACACTTCAAACCAAACTTGAATATATGTTGCCAGATAAAAAATAACGAAATTACTTATATTACAGGTTTTTAAAGGTTTGTAGTATATGTTTACGTTAAGTACATGGAACTTAAAAAAAAAAAGTAAATGGAACTTGAATGTTTTAGATAGTTAATTAGTGGCAATAGTAGAAATAAAACGTGGAGGAAATGATAAGGACAGGGAACAAAAGCAAGAACATAGTGGTGTGGGAATCTGATTCCTTGTCAATTAATTGCACTCAGCTTTATCCCTCTTAAGCCTTTTCCCTGTAAAAAGCTTACTCCTTAATCTTTTGTACCTGTAATTTAAACTACACTCATATATATATATATACCTCATGTCCACATGATACATACTTGAATACATATATATCTAGTTGGAAATAACTGAACTAGAGCTAAATAATTGCAAAAATTAGGTGAAGATGGTAAACTTGAAGGAAATTACTAGAAACGAGTTTTAGTATCACTACCAAATATCATCAACAACAAAATAAACATCTAAACAAACGCACGAGTTGTAAATTATATTTTCCTCATATTTTTATTTTTGTTTCTTCATCATTTTCCTTCTAGACATTTTTATTTGTTCATGTATATTCTAAGCTGTAGTTTCCTTTCAGATATATCCTTTTAGAATTTTTTTTTTCTTTTTCACTTTTTGCTCATTAGCAATTTCTTGAGTAAATAATCATAAGAGCACAACATTCAACATTACAGTTCAAAAAAAACATTCAACATATTTGGCTAATTTATATATATTCGAAAAGCGAGAAATTCGACTTTCTATTTATACTAAAAGGGAGATTGCTATATCTAATTGGAATTCTTAACAAACTACCGTGTTAAGGTTTTCAAGATTAAGATGTCCATTTCATGATGGAGTCTTAACAAAAAAGACTCCATCACAAGCCCAACTTGGCGCTCCAGGACCCTCGCATCAAAGGAGAAACCCCCCTATCCAACTGATCCCTGCATCTAGCAGACGAAAGGAGGATTTTCGGGTTGCTCCACCCCGGGCTCCTTAGTCATAGCGAGCTGGAACTGCTGCGGGCTGGGGAATTCTGCAACAGTCCAGCGATTAAAGGAGATTAATAGAAGGAACAAACCTGATATTATCTTCCTTATGGAAACAAAGAATCCTGATGAGAAAACCTTAAAAGATCTGCAATGGCTAATCCTAGACAATAACTATTACACGGTACCACCTGAGACACCAAGAGCGGGCGGTCTTTTCCTCTTCTGGAAAAAAGATATCGAGCTCACCGTTTTATCTGCTACTAAGGGGTATATTGACACAATGATCTCAACCAAAGGCGTTCCCTTCCATTCAACCTTTGTCTACGGGGAACCGGAGCAACCGAGAAGACAAGAGTTCTGGAACACTCTGTCTAGTCTTCATACGGACAACGCCTCCTCATGGTATCTCACAGGCGACTTTAATGAGATCATAGAGAACTCGGAGAAATGTGGCGGTCCGGACAGAGCAGAAGGTTCTTTTGGAGCCTTCAGATCCTTCTTATCATCCCACGACCTGTTTGATCTTAAGCACTGTGGTAGCTTCCTATCATGGAGGGGTCAGAGACACACCCATTTGGTCCAATGCCGTTTAGATAGAGCTATGTGCAACATGGAATGGGCTGATCTTTTTCCTTCCTGTCGAAGCCAATATTTAAGATACGGAGGTTCAGACCATCGTCCTCTGGTTTCGTTCCTAGATACAACAAAAAAGAAGGGGAATGGGATATTCAGATTCGACAGGAGACTAAAGGACAATCTGGAAGTGAGAGCAATTGTTAAAGACCTGTGGGAAAGCCATTCTCATCTCCAGGTTGAGGAGAAATTGTCCTTATGTCGTCAAGCAATATGTAAGTGGAGCAAGGCGTTCCAGGAAAATAGCAGACTTGTATTAGAATCCCTACAGTACGAGTTGGATCAAGCAATGTCAAACCCAATATCAGACGATCAACTAATTAGGGATTTAAATGCCAGACTGTTGAGGACATACCTGGAGGAGGAAAACTTCTGGAAGCAGAGAAGTCGCCAACTTTGGCTGTCTCTAGGAGATGCGAACACGGGATACTTTCACGCTTCAGCAAGAGTTAGGAAGGCGAAAAACAGGCTAACGGTATTGGAAGATGATGATGGCCTGCCAATCTATGAAGAAGAACAAATCTCCGCAACTATTTGCAGCTACTACTCCAAGCTCTTTACCTCAATTCCCTCCAATGGGGACCAGACTGTAAATGAAGCGCTAACACCCTGCATCTCTGCGAAACAAAATGAGATGCTGATAGCGAATCCGACAAGTATTGAAATTAAGGAGGCTACATTTGCTATCCACCCCGACAAAGCGCCTGGTCCGGATGGGTTTTCAGCTGCCTTTTTTCAATCGAATTGGGAGGTAACGGGACCGGCTATCATCCAAGAGATAAAACAATTCTTCTCCTCAGGAGTCCTGCCAACTTCAATAAATCATACCTATGTCAGATTGATCCCTAAGCATACAGAAGCTAAAAGAGCAGAGGACTACCGCCCTATCGCGTTGTGCAACGTATACTACAAGATCATTTCTAAGCTGCTATCTTTGCGACTAAAAAAGGTCCTCGAATCTCTTATCTCAGAAAATCAATCAGCCTTTATACCGGGGAGATCTATTACAGACAATGTCCTAATTACACATGAAGTTCTAGAGTACCTAAAGACTTCCCAAGCTACAAAACAGTGTTATATGGCAGTGAAGACGGATATGTCTAAGGCTTATGACATAATGGAGTGGTGTTTTGTGAAACAAGTCCTAGTAAGGTTCGGTTTTCACAGCAAATGGATTGGGTGGCTTATGGAGTGCTTAACGACAGTATCCTATTCCTACTTGGTTAACGATCACGCCTACGGTTTAGTTCAACCTAGCAGAGGAATCAGACAGGGTGACCCTCTGTCCCCTTATCTATTCATTCTATGTGGGGAGGTCCTTTCCGGTTTATGTAAGAAGGCAGCAGAGGACGGCACTTTACAGGGAATTCAAGTGGCAAGAGGGAGTCCGAGAGTGAATCACCTGCTATTCGCGGACGACACGATGTTCTTCTGCCTGGCTTCCTCGGTTTCCAGTAGATCATTGATGAAGATCCTCTCACAGTATGAAACAGCCTCGGGACAACAGATAAACAAAAGTAAATCGGCTGTCACCTTCTCGAAGAAGACCCCTGCAGCAATGAAAGACGAAGCGAAGTTAATCCTTGGTATAGAAAAGGAAGGAGGAGAAGGGAAATACCTTGGAGCTCCTGAACACTTTGGACGGCGGAAGCGGGATTTATTCACCTCCATTGTGGATAGGATTCGCCAACGAGCTGCAAGTTGGTCCACTAGATGTCTATCAAAAGCTGGAAAGCTAACGATGCTCAAGGCTGTTCTCTCGGCTATCCCAACCTACACAATGTCGTGTTTTGAGCTCCCAGTCAGTTTGTGCAAAAGGATCCAATCGGCTCTCATTAGGTTCTGGTGGGATGGGCCAAACAACAAAAGAAAGATGAGTTGGGTGGCTTGGGACAGATTAACAAAATCAAAAGCTCAAGGAGGCCTCGGCCTTAGAGATATACAAATTTTCAATCAAGCCCTGCTAGCTAAGATTGCGTGGAGAATCATCACAGTCCCAGATTGTCTTCTGGCTAGAGTTCTAAAGGGCAAGTACTGTCACAAACAAAATTTCTTAGAGGTAGAGCTACCCTCGGTTAGCTCTCATGGATGGAAAGGGATACTACACGGTAGGGACCTCCTGAGACGGAACTTAGGCAAGGCTATTGGAAATGGGTTATCTACAAGAGTGTGGAAGGATTCTTGGATCTCCCTAGACACTCATATCAGACCGTATGGACCAATTCAGGAAGAAGCCCTAGACCTAAGGGTATCCGACCTTCTTACGGATGATCTGAAATGGAACAAACAGAGAATTGAGAGTCTTCTACCTGACTTTGTGGACCAAATCCAGTGCCTGAAACCAAGTGTGAGAGGAGTGGAAGATAGCTTTGTGTGGCAGCCCCTACCCTCAGGAACATACTCGACAAGGTCAGGGTACAATTCAGTGGCAAACGGTGATCACCGTGGGATTCAAAATCCACCTGGAGATGATTTTAACTGGATCAGAGATGTGTGGAACTCAGCTTGTTCACCTAAAATGAGAGTCTTTCTATGGTCTATCATTCAGAATGCATTGCCCTTAGGGGAGAACCTGCAAAGAAGAGGAATCAACTCAAACACAAATTGCCCAAGGTGTAATGAGATTGAGTCATCTATGCATACCTTCCTTCTATGCCCCTTCGCGAAGAAAGTTTGGGAGAATATCCCCCTAAAAGAAACAGTTCACATAGCTGTCACAGACACCTTCAAGATAGCCACGACTCGCTTTCGTACAGCGACCTGCCTTCCACCTACCGGAGTTTCTAAGAGTATCTTTCCCTGGGTTTGTTGGTCAATCTGGAAAGATCGCAACCTCCTGGTCTTTGAAGGTAAAAGTGCAAACCCGGAAGAGATAGCTTCAAAAGGCTTAGCTTTAGCAAGAGAATGGAATGGAGCTCAGATAGCCACAACTTCACAGCAAAACCAGTATCGGACACCTCAGTTGACCAAAGGTATGGCCATACCTCGACGAGATCCCCAAATCCCTATTTGTAAAACTGACGCGGCCTGGGACACAACAAGCCTGAAAGCGGGGATCGCTTGGACGCTGAGCGGGAACTCTGAATCGACAGGAGCGCATGGAGCATTGATCCAGAACTTTGTCAACACCCCCTTAATTGCAGAGGCTCTAGCAGTTAGGGAGGGGGTCTTTAGGGCTTTAAACCAAGGGATCTTGCATCTTTGGGTATGCTCTGACAATCTAACGCTCATTCGAGCAATTAATAGCAAGACACAGACGAAGGAGCTACTGGGAATCATCAAGGATATTCAGGATCTCTCTTCTGATTTTGCTGCAATCGACTTTTTTCATATTAGTAGAAAAGACAATGAGGAAGCGGATGCTTTGGCAAAAGCTATACTCAGATCATCTCTGTAATGGGCCCCCTGCTTTTGGGCTAAACTCTTGGCCTTTTTTAGTAATCAAGTATTTTCAGTGACAAAAAAAAAAAAAAGATGTCCATTTCATCAGTCATGCTCTCAGAGCCTTTTTACTAGCTAGCCTCTATGTTTCTGTTCGGGAATTTTCCGATGACTTGACGAACATATATATGTTTAGTTTCTTTTGTGCTAGAAGACAAAACGAATGAAAATTCTTTGATAACTAGTAATGCTTACTAGTAATTATTTTAATATTCAGCCAGCAAGCAATGGAAAATGGTATTCAAATAATTATATGATCTAGTACCTTGCCCCCGGTCCTGTATGGATTACAAATTCCTTATTTTCAGTGGATAAGTGAGCGTCACCGATTATCTGGAGTCGACTATATGTTTAACCGAGAAAATTATTGGTTTTGGTTCCAAAAACCCAAATACATCTCTCTTTACATTATTGGCGTTTACTAAACTAAGAACATTTAATCAAACTTGTTTGTCCATTCTCGTGATCCACTCTTTGATTGGTACTCATTTAACGTGGCTACCAATGCGGACAACGATGCCGTCAATGTCTCGCACGTAACCAACCTTCTGTCCCCATTCCTTGTCCTCTGGCTCGCTCACCGCCACCGCACCATTCTCCACAGCCCTCTACACAACGCACCCATCTCACTCATATCAACAATAGATTGAATAAGTTGACACAAACACAATCAGCGTATAACACACAAGTTTACCTTGAAAGCAGCATCAACATCCGGGTAACAGAAGCAGACTTCTATTGGTGCTCTCTCACGCGCTGAGTGCGTAGCTTGTACCTTCCCGGTTAAGTCATCCGTCTCATGTTGGTGAAGCGGTGTGAACGCTATTGTCGTTTGCCCGCTCTCTAGCTCCCCCCACCTATACATGTATCAGTTTGTCTCCCTCATCACAAGCCAGAAGAAGAATAAAAATGTGGCAAAAAAAGACGAAAAATCCTTGAAAATATTGATAAATATCTTAATCTCTGTACAATCAACCAAAACACCTTATAAAACGAAATTATAAAAAGAAATGGAGGGAATACCATAATTACAAACTCGAGACTACAAATATTGTTATCCTTTTCCCTAAATATATTTGGACTTCACAACAATGGAATCTCAAAATCCTATTAGAGTTTTCGACTCTTGAACAAATACGATCGGATCAAAACATTTGTATTTCTATCTTTACACAATATAACATAATTAAATATATATACAAACCTGTGGGACTCGTCGAGACGACGAACGTTGTGACCAAAGGCTCTAGAGTAGAATTCTACGGATTTAGCCACGTCCTTCACGTACACAACCGTGTAAGCAAACGCTGGTCTCATGATATTTGACGCCATTTTTTTCAATCCTTGTGATTCTCCGATCCAGAATCTGATCCTACACAATCACAAAACTCACCATGAAACGTCTCACGTCACGTCTATATACCTATAAGATCTCTCTTTACGGTAAGCTGAACACGTGGGCGACTGCATGTAACTTCGTGTCTAGGCTACTCGGTGCCACGTGAGCTTTTGCATCTTTTTAAGTTGGGCTTATGATTACAAATGGTCTTATATAGCCTATAGTTTTAAATGTTGGTTATCTATAAATCCCCAATATTTATTAGTTGTCCGAGGAGCCCAACTTACATACACAGCTGCGTTTGTTTCACAACACATGATTAAAATGCATTCTATCTTCAAATGATTTAAGAATGAGTTTAGGTTAGGTGTCATGGCACAAATAAATTAGTTAAAAATCATCCATATTGGTAAGACTCGCACTAAATTCCCAAATGACAGTTTCACATTTTGTGAAAAAATAATATTAAATATTAATATAATTGATGACAGTTTATAGTAAGACACTGAGATTTTTAGGGTATTTTTATAATTTTATTTAATTTGTGAATACCTAACACATTCAACTATTATTGTATAATGTCTGGCCAAAGAAATGTAGTTTTACGTTGCAAGTTATTTTATAAAATAAAAAATTTGTTTATTACAACTTTCATACATCGTCCACGTTCTCTGTCCCAAAACACGATCGGATCAAACAAGCCGACGCAGTCACCATAACCCCCGCGAAAATAGAAGGCACGAACAAATCGAAACGTGATCTCTTCACCATGTGAGACGGAACACACACACTCTCCCCCGGAAAATCCATCGGAATCTTCACGAAACCATCACCTCCGCCACAGGAAGACGATACCGTAGACACAAAAGCCAACTCTGGAGCGAAAGAAGCGATGGCTACGGTGAACATGAGAAGCACTGTCCACGTTGTAGCTTGAACGATGGCTGGCCAACGCTCCGAGACTCTCCGGAGAAACGGCTCCATTAGCGATGGAAAACGGTGAAACATTCCGACCAAGAATCAAGAGGGTTGTTTTGGCATCTAAAGCAAAGCTTGTTGATGTCGCGGTTTGTGTGTGTGTGGAGCGGCTGCTTCTTGCACGTTTTAACTAACTGCTTCTCTTTTCTTTAAGACATGAAGTTGTTAATTACGAACTTACCCTTTACCTTTTGAACTCTTCTGTTCATTTGCCCTTCCTTTCCGGGTCATCATCTCCTTCCCCCTTTGAGGCTCCCACGTTTTATGTCTACCTCATCAGAAACATTTTGTTTTGTTTTTGAATTAAAATATAACCAGCTTGTGGTTTTTAATTGGACGTAAACAATTTTCAAACATATTTTAGTAACGTATAATTGAGATGCATTGTTTAGCATTTACTTTATTTGGATTATAGAAGAATGAGGGATTAGGATGGAGTCTTATAGGAAGCCAATTTAATATGATAATGACAGTGATTATATGTTTTTTTGTGTGTGGGGATTTGCCAAAGCTCTTTCATTATAGTTTAGGTTGTTCACCTAAATCTGATGCTTATGTACTGAGTGTGACATGAGCTTACGATAAAGTTTACAACTACATTTTTAATTCCTCCATTTCAATATCATCAGTTAATTAGATGAAATTGCAAGATCAAATTGGCCCCTGTTAAAAACAAATATAACAAGCCTTCAAATGTCTTCTATATCCAAAAATTACTAATAAAATAAGCCCATTGGGCCTTTAAAAGAAGCCTGAAACGCAGCGTTTGGTTTAATTTTCTTTTCCTCTTCTTGCTCTTTAGTATAAAAACCGATAACAAAACCCTAGCACTCCCTCTCTTCTTCCTCTCTTTTGCTTTTTTCTCCAGCGACCTGCCTCTCGAGCTACCAATCTAAGGTACGGCACTCTCCACTCTCGTAGCTTCTTCGTTCTTCATATAGAGAAACGAGCTAGCTTCGTTTGATAGCTGATTGATAGTTAATCGTTTCTCAATCGAGAATATAGGATCTGAGAGCTTGTGTTTGTTAGGTAACATTCATAGTTAAAATTAGGAAGGCTGGAGATTATTGTTAGTGAAGTAGTTAGTATTAGCTTTCTTTTTTTGTATAATTTTTATTTTTTTAAAATTCATTTGTCATTTTTGTGATTTATTGAGCAGGAGGTTGAGCTAAGGAGAAGAAAAAAAAATGGTGAGAATCAGTGTACTCAACGATGCGCTCAAGAGCATGTACAATGCGGAGAAACGTGGCAAGAGGCAGGTCATGATCAGGCCTTCTTCCAAAGTCATCATCAAGTTTCTTATCGTTATGCAGAAACACGGTTTGTTTTTCTTTTTTTCTTTTTTTCTTTTTTTTTCTCACCATTTTAATTAATAGACATTTCTCATTATATTCTTGAGAGTTTCGTGACTTAGGTTATATTTGATGAAATGTGTAGGTTACATTGGTGAGTTTGAGTATGTGGATGACCACCGATCTGGCAAAATCGTTGTGGAGTTGAACGGAAGGTTGAACAAGTGTGGTGTTATCAGCCCTCGTTTTGATGTTGGTGTTAAGGAGATTGAAAGTTGGACTGCTCGTTTGCTTCCTTCCCGACAGGTTCGGTCTTTTTGTCCCTTTTATTCTAGTTAATATGGCATGTAATTATTCTATGGAATGGCTTTTGACTGAAAAAAATCTATAGAGAATCACTTTGTATAACTTAATTCAAGATTTTAATAGTTGCTGATTTCACCTAATGAAATGTGCAGTTTGGTTACATTGTGCTGACTACTTCCGCTGGTATTATGGACCATGAAGAAGCCAGGAGAAAGAATGTCGGAGGGAAAGTTCTCGGCTTCTTCTATTGATATGTTTTGTGCTTTAAGAGACGTTCCCTCTCTTTGTTTTTTTTTTCTTTTGAATTTTGTCGCAACTTTTGCTGGATAGTTGGTTATATTTTACTCATTGTTGGTCTTGATCTTTGAAGATTTATTTGGACTACAACATCAAGCATTTTCGTTATCATTTTCTAGACTTAAGTTTAGTCAAGTCTTAGTACATTCTTTACATATAAACATGGCAAGAACTTAAAAGATGCAGAACGTTTGCAATTTATCTGCAGGCATGTCTGTGAATCTATGTAAACAGAAGTTTGCCAAGCTTGCGTATGCTAACTAGGTTCTTGTAAAACAGAATTATGAATTTTGGACACTTTCATCTTACATGGCCAATTGATCAAATATTCAACTTTCAAAACTATATTTCATAAGGCTTCCCATACAATCATAAGCAAGTAATACAGCAGGACACACGGACGATCTTGAATAAATAGAGTATACATTTCAGGTAAGGTCCTGTGTGATGTATGACAACAAGTTGCCACTCATGTGGCTGTAGTTTAGTGGTAAGAATTCCACGTTGTGGCCGTGGAGACCTGGGCTCGAATCCCAGCAGCCACAATATATATAAATTTTTTATGTTTTTATTTCATATGGGCCTGTAATTTGTTTTCTGCTTATGAAAACAGTGGCACTGCTGGGCCTATATATATTTAGAGGATACTTATTTCTATCGGAAAGATAAATCTACCAACCAGGAAGAATATGCATTTTTGTAAGATTTGTATAATCATAATTAATTAGATAAACATAAATCTAATCATCACGTTGATCGTTTGGATTAAATGAAAAAAATATTTCCAAATTTTGTTTACAAACTATCTTTTTTGTTTGAACAATGTTTACAGATTGTTGCCAATTGTATTATTTGATAAACCCGTGAAATAAACGTCGATATTACAGTCAAGTCAGCAGATTCCCCCATATTAGAAAAAAAAATTGAAGTAATTATAGAATTATGCCAGCAATTAGGTCAAATAAACACACGACAAGATACGATAAGATTTCTTCATTTCACCCTTAATCCTATCCTAAGATCAAAATAAAAGGAAAACATAATATTAGGATGACCAAATTGAGAGCAAATAAGGTAACAGAATGAAATATACCATATATTAAGGATCCGGTTCAATCCATAATACATCACTAGGATATGACCCGCGCAAGATGAAATTAGTAATGAAATTTAGCAAAACCAAAACTGTTAGCTTTGTTGTTGAATAATTAGCTTGGGTAAATTTATGGTAACAATGGGAAAATCGTTTATTAAATGTGTTATGATTTATAGTTAACAGCCCAATATCTGAGTAAAGTTTATAAACGTGAGAAGCAATGGAGCTCAGCTTTTTTAGATCAGTATTCTCAGCAAAATTATATTCTCATTAAAGACCCATTCTAACTTGGCTATTCGAGCAACATGTCAAAACAAAACACTTATCGTATAAATATAACACATTTATAGAAAGAAAAAAAATGAATATCGAGATAATGATGGACAAAAATACGAACGGGGATTAGGGTTCTACCCAAATATTTTCACTCTTACAATCGACGAACGCAGGTACGATTTCTCCTTCTCTTATTTTTTTATCTTCTATCATAAGATACTTAAGCAAAGAAAATAATATGGGACATGTCTGGAGCATTCCCGATTCAGCTTTTATAGAAGAACCTTGGGTTAAGATTTTAATGAAATAAGTCTAATAAGGAATGATAATATATAGAACTAATTATACCTAAAATGATTGGCAATCGACATTGATTGTATGGTTAAGACACCAAAATTTTAGCAAGTTAATAGATTTCTCGAATACAAATATGTATATCTCGAATTCAAATATATATGATTTGCATATCAATAAGAATGTTTTTTGACGTTGTTACGCTGGAAAACTTACCATAATTTTCTTGAGTAGATCATTGCATTAAATAGAAAATTTGCTTGGAGACAAAACTGGATTTAATAGCTTATGCATAGATTACGGAAATTAGTTTAGTTTCAATCTTAGGATAAAAAACTCTTGGTTTTGTAATTCAAATTAAGAGTGTCGATATTTTAGCAAGTTTATAAAAATTATTTTGCATCTTTGAGGATGTAGTTATTGTATAGTTAAAACATCAAGGTTTTAGTTATTATATAGTTAAAATAATATATATTAGAATATACAACACTGGTGTTTTGTTATTATATAGTCTCTTGCTTGACTTCAAATAACATTGTGGACAACCTTTATGTAACCTACAATTCCTAAATTCAAATAGGAGTCAAATGAAAAATTCTAAACTATGATTAGTTAATATTGAAATAAGTTAACTTTCATGTAAATATAAGAAATGTGTCATAATATTATCCAAACCCCTAATATCTTATATGTATAAAATATAGAGATCTCTAAAATATATATGGCCATAGAACATGTCTCATAATATAATTCAAATACATGAGAGCTTATTTGTATAATATATATTTGACGTACTTTGCCAGAAATGTTATGATAATAGTTACTTGTAATATTAATGTGATCTGAGAATATGTTTTTGTATAAACTATTAACTTGAACTTTATTTGCAGGTTATAAAAAGAAGATGAGCAGCCGAATAAACCTTAACATTCAATTAAGGAATGCATAAAAGTTTCCAAAAAGGCACACGTGAGTTATAATAGTACATACAATATATATGTTTGTGTATTAAAATGTCAGTTCAGTGGTTATTCTCTGTAATTATTCTAGATGGGCGAGGGTATTAATGAATTCGGTCTGAGGAGCTCTCTTATTACGACAAGTAAGCAGAATGGCACTAATGTAAATATATTACATTGGCAAGGTTTATCTTTTTATTTGCTTCCTTTTTAATAATAAGGGGATTTTCAGTAGATATTCAGATAAGATGAAGAACGTGATTGACAAACCTAAATTATCTGTGAAAGCATCATAATTCGATAGAGTCAATATCAACAATTATAATAAAGGAAATAAAAATAAATGATAAGATCGTGGACATTAAAGAAATGGATTGAATTTGAATTAAAAACATTAAATACAATAGTTATCCCTAAATCATACCGCCTCTCGTAACGCTTTGACTCCCTCCTCCTCTCTTGTATATATACGTGTCGCATCTCATTGATTGTTCATATCAAACATACACTCTTTACTACATCTTTTCATTGCTCTTTCCGTCACAATCTTTGAACTTTAATTTTAGTGAGAATTTGAAACGATGGAGTTGGATCTTACACCAAAGTTGCCTAAGCAAGTGTACGGTGGAGATGGAGGATCTTACTTTGCATGGTGCCCTGAAGAGTTGCCGATGCTTAAAGAGGGTAACATTGGAGCCGCGAAGCTTGCTCTTGAGCAATATGGCTTCGCTGTTCCTCGTTACTCTGATTCCCCTAAGGTTGCCTATGTTCTTCAAGGTTAGGTTTCTTACTCTCTTTGTTCTTAACTTGTCAACTTTTTTTTTGTGTGATTCATGAAGTAGTATTGATTTCATTTTGAATCAACTTTATTTATAAGATCCCCATATAATAGTCAAATAGATTAACATTGTGTATGCCAAGAAAATCTTTCTCTTTTGCTCTATACATCTTGTCAACTTTTTGTGTGATTCTTATGTATAATTGTTTTATAATTGAAAATATGATCCCTAATATAATAGTCAAATAGAATACATAGTATAAGTCAGAAAAAATCTTTCTCTTATTGTTTTATATTGTGAACTTTTTTTGTCTGATTCATGCAGTTTTGTATAATAGGTTTGATTTTTTTGTTTCTTTTGGAATAAATTTTAAGTGAAACAATATATGATTCCTAGTATTATAGTCGTGTGAAACTATATATGATCCCTAATATAATAGTCGTTGTTTTTTACATTTGTTAATTCCATTTCAGGATCTGGAACGGCTGGAATTGTCCTCCCTGAAAAGGAGGAGAAGGTGATAGCCATCAAGAAAGGTGACTCCATTGCTATTCCCTTTGGTGTGGTCACATGGTGGTTCAACAACGAGGAAGCTGATCTTGAAATCCTCTTCCTTGGTGAAACCCACAAGGCACACAAGTCAGGACAGTTCACTGACTTCTACCTCACTGGCTCAAATGGAATCTTCACCGGTTTCTCCACTGAGTTCGTAGGCAGAGCTTGGGATTTGGACGAGACCACAGTGAAGACACTGGTCAGCTCTCAAACCGGTAAAGGCATTGTGAAGCTCGATAAGGGTTTCAAGATGCCACAACCCAAGGTAGAGGACCGTGATGGGTTTGTCATTAACTGTTTGGAGGCTCCTCTTGATGTTGACATCAAGGATGGTGGGAGAGTTGTTGTCTTGAACACCAAGAACCTTCCTCTTGTTGGTGAGGTTGGGTTCGGAGCTGATCTTGTTCAGATTGATGGACATTCCATGTGCTCCCCTGGCTTCTCTTGTGACTCGGCTCTTCAGGTGACTTACATTGTTGGTGGGAGTGGAAGAGTTCAAGTGGTTGGTGCTGATGGGAAAAGAGTTCTTGAAACTCATATCACTGCTGGTTCTCTATTCATTGTTCCAAGGTTCTTTGTGGTTTCAAAGATTGCTGATCCTGAAGGCATGTCTTGGTTCTCCATTGTGACCACTCCTGAGTAAGAACACTATTCCTTAATACTCTTTGAATTTATTTTTTCAGTATTGAAAGAATCTAATGTGTTTGTAGTACAATTTTCACACACTATTTCATTGTCAAATTTTCACACACTATTTCTTATACTCTTTAAATTTATTTTTTTCAATATTGAAAGAATCTAAACGTTTAATTTGTTTATGTGTTTTTTAGTCCTATTTTCACACACTTGGCTGGGAGGACATCAGTGTGGAAGGCTTTGTCTCCTGAAGTTTTACAGGCAGCGTTTAAGGTTGATTCAGAGGTGGAGCAGTTGTTCCGTTCAAAGAGGACTTCAGATGCAATTTTCTTCCCTCCTTCCAACTGAAGCAGAAGAGAGAAGAAGAACAAGAACCAGCTTATCTTCAATTGTTCTTTCAGCAAATTCTTAGTCTAAGCTAATTTGGGGTTTGATTCTATTGCTGTGGTTTCTCTTTCAACCGGTTCTTGTTTTCTTTGTTAAACTTTTTCGGTTCTATTAAAATAAAAGACATAAAGTCCCCCTTTTACATTAGTTACTTAACATTTTTTTGAACCTTTATGGTCGTTTAGAACCACAAATATCAAACCCATACCCTTAGGTTTAGTATGCGTGCATGAACCTCTT